TTCACTACCATAATCGAAATCTGAATCTAGGGTTTCCATGTAGAAAGATTCAATTGACCCACTGGAATCACTATCTCAAACATGAATAATTAAAGTTTCTGAATTATCTTCTGTTATTCTATCCCTTTCTTTATATTTATTTTCAATGTGAATTACATGATCAGTCATTTTCTTCCATTCAAGTTTCTCTAACTCCCCAGCAGGCAGGGTAATATTTTTACTAGCCACTTTACGTTTGCCTAAACTCCATACCAGCACAATGGCATTTAGATCGCAGTGGTAGGGGGGAAGTCGCAATACCTCATGCCCATTCTGCTTCAAAAGTGCATCAGCTTCCTATACTGGTTCTGGTGTGTTTCGTTTTACAAGTCATAGTAGCTCTACTTTTGTGTGATATTGTTCAAATGGAATATCATTCAAAGTAAGCCATTCTCTAATATTATTTTTGAGACTTTGTGATGTAGGAGCTTTATTTACAATGATTGAATGGTAACTGGCATTATCCATAACTAATACACTCGGCTCATATAAATTAAGTATGCTTATAAGCTTTTCTCTTAGCCATTTATTAAAGTTAACAGGATTCATGTCGTGGTGGTAACTGCCATTTTAGATTTAGTGCTAAATACTAATAATGAGTTAAGCAAAGGACCTTTCTCCGATCCAGCATGTACAATTATATACTTATTTTCCCAGTTGAAACATTTTCAATCGCACCACTTGTAGATGAACCTCGTCAAGACTTCTTGGGCCTGTAGTTTTTATGAATATAAGTCTCATCTGAATAAATGATTGACTCAACTACCGGCATAGGCGTAATATGGACGTTATACGTGATCTTTGTTTTGTCCATGTTCATCTTAAGACCTATCTGTTGGGAGGCACTATTGAGGTCATTGAGTATAGTGCTTCGGTCCTCCAGCGATGGAGGAGTATTTTTCAATGGAGTTTTATATTCAGAAACTAAAAAAATTTAGAAACTTAATACACTCGGCTCATATAAATTAAGTATGCTTATAAGCTTTTCTCTTAGCCATTTATTAAAGTTAACAGGATTCATGTCGTGGTGGTAACTGCCATTTTAGATTTAGTGCTAAATACTAATAATGAGTTAGGCAGAGGACCTTTCTCCGATCCAGCATGTACAATTATATACTTATTTTCCCAGTTGAAACATTTTCAATCGCACCACTTGTAGATGAACCTTGTCAAGACTTCTTGGGCCTGTAGTTTTTATAAATATAAGTCTCATCTGAATAAATGATTGGCTTTCCTTCTCTACGTTTCAAAGCCACGGTTCTTAAATACCGATGTCTCCAGGCAGATATGTCATAACGTTCAATTAACAATGAATGGTCATTTTTATTTCTCTTAAATTCATAGCCATTGGTCAATAATAAGTAGCGAAGTGTTTCCCGGCATCCATTCAATCCAATGCTTTCTCTTAATTCCACTAACAGAGTTCCCAACGTAGGAACTTGTTTTCAAACAATGTAAAACTCGTTAATTTTGTTACGAATAGCATCTATATCGAAACTATCTAGGTTGGACACTTAGGATTTATGTGGCCGTTTTTTCCTGGGAGTTTTCCCAGACACCTTCATTTACCAAACCTTCAAATTTTATTTATTTCTATAACTTTAGCATTTCTCCTCAAACATGACAAATACCTTAACCAAATAACCAGACCTACTTTCGCATCACATACTTTTCACGAAGGACAAAGGGTCAATTTTGCTCTGGGCTAATGCTTAGCTTGCCCCCCCCCCCCCCTTAGATCGGGCCCTGGCAGTGGAGTATGATCCTTTGTCATCTGGGCAAGCGAATGACGGCTGCGGAGACCCACGTATGAATAAGAATGAATATCATCTTCCAGGGTAATTGTCCGAGTCCAATCTGATTCCGCCTCTCTCTGTACCCTCTCAGTACCTTACTGGCGGGCTCCGGTAGGGGATTTCAGCTTCGGAAGGGATTGACAATAGTAACCACATTTTCTATAAAGATGATCTCAAGTTATTCGCATCCAGGCTGAGATGTTTAACGAGCAATGGCAAGAGAAGAGTACAGAGCATTTCCTACCGTAAGACAACATGGAAAGAGAAGGAGCTCCAGAGCCCGCTCAAGAGCGCTCCGAATCCCGGAGCCCGAAGCGCAGGACCACTCCGGGCTCAAATGCAGAAGACGGTGCTCCTCGATAACATCCGCATCGTTCGCCGGTTTCTTTCCTTTTCCCCCTAACCCTCGGCCGTTTGGTCTCCCCTGCCGAGGGCTTCCATCTGGTTGGGTTTTTATTTATTTATGTATTTTATTATATTTTATATTGGATGTATATTTATGTATTTAAGCTCTTTTATGTATTCATGCAGCCCAAATAGATGAATTTATTTGCAAGAAATATAGTAGTTACAAGCATATTTCGTCAGTGGCATGCAAATACATCTCTACGTAGTAAGTATATCTTTTAAACTACGCAACGGATTTCGATGTGATTTTCATCAATAGACAGAATGATTGAAAACGAAGTATATGTTTCATACATGCATATTCTATATTATACATATAAAAGAGGATGTTTCTATATAAGAAATCGTTCAACTCAAAATCTATTCGATCGATTACCATTAAAATTGGTAAATATATGTATCATCATCAGCATTATATCAATCAGCATCATCATCATCCTTACAGCCCTTCACAAGTCCACTGCTGAACATAGGCCTCCCCCAAGGAATGCCACAAAGCACGGTCCTCAGCCACCTGCATCCATTGACTTCTTGTATGTCTCTCAGGTCGTCACTCCACCAGTGTGGGGACGCCCTACACTTCGTCCGCCGTTACGAGGCCGCCGCTCGAGAACCTTCCTTCCCCATCGGTTGTCGGTTCTTCAAGCTATATGGCCGGCCCATTGCCATTTCAGCTTACTAATCCGTTGGGCTATGTCGGTCACTCTGGTTCTACTGCGGATATCATTTCTAAATTTATCACGCAGAGAAATCCCAAGCATAGCCCTCTCCATAGCTCGTTGAGCGACCTTGAGCTTCCTCATACGGCCAGCAGTGAAGGACCGCGTCTCAGTTCTATATGTCATCACTGGCAACACGCACTGGTTGTACAGTACTCGTTTTCAAATTTTGAGGTTTACCTGATGAGAAGATATGCCGTAATTTCCCGAACGCTACCCAGCCGAGTTGAATCCGTCGATTGACCTCTAGCTCGAAGATGGACTTACCCATTCTGACTATTTGTGCCAGGTAAACATACTCGTCAAAAACTTCGAGCTTAGTGCTCCCAACAACTACCGGCATAGGCGTAATATGGACGTTATACGTGATCTTTGTTTTGTCCATGTTCATCTTACTGGCACCGTTTAGATGCCGCACTGTTTTTGCTAGACGACAAAGCGCATATCTCTCTATAGTACTCTATAACAAACTTAACAAAATTCTAAATTTCTATCCTCTTTCAAAACACGAGTGTAAAATTAGAGTTCGTGATTGGTTGTTGTCATTAGATTACAATAAAACAGAAAATTTATTAATTTAATTTGATTTAATTTAATTTATTAATTTAATTTATAGTTTCAAAATAAATAAATAAACAAAAACAGGGAAGTGATTAATGTGTGGACAATTAATATTAACGTTTCGTTTATGGTTATGCATAATTTATATATGAACTTTAATATTTATATATGTATATATATATATATATATATATATATATATATTTGATAATTATATAAGTATATATACACATATATATGTGTGTGCTCGTCTTGTATATATGTATATTAAATATATGTATAGTATAGATGTTTAGTATTAAATATAACACATAGAATACTTTATTATATTACAACTTTTATCATTTTTTGATTTAATTTTGTAAATTTGTTAAATTTGTAAAGTTGTTTACTTTTCTTTTGTTTCAACAATGAAAACATGCATAGTTCTTTTAGTATTACCCGTTCTTTTAGTACAACTCTGGGAGAGGCCGCTGACTCCTAAGATACAGACTCGTCTAGTTTAGGAGTCAGAGACTTCATAAAATTTCTTGTGATTTATTTTTGACAATAAAAGAATTATTATTATTATTATTATTAATTATTATTATTATTATTATTAAGACCTATCTGTTGGGAGGCGCTATTGAGGTCATTGAGTATAGTGCTTCGGTCCTCCAGCGATGGAGGAGTATTTTTCAATGGAGTTTTATATTCAGAAACTAAAAAAAATTAGAAACTTATTTTAGAAATTTTTTGAATTTATTTCCTTTTTTTTTTCAATCAAGCGCGGCAATTAGTAAATTAAAATGCACATGCGCTAAATTAAAAAACTTTGCTGAACACAAGCTTTAACTGGCGGGACAACGTCTGCCGCCTTCAGCTAGGGTAGTACCTATATGTTTATTATTATTATATGTAAAAGATAATCAGATACGCACTAAAACAACATAATGTTCAATAGTGAGAAGTCAGTTACCTACGAGTGAGACGCGTATGTGACTGAACTCCTTCTAAACGGCTGGACCAATTTTAATGAAATTTTGTGTGTGTGATTTAGTTGAAGGTGGCGTTGTAGTCGAGATCCAAAAATCAACCGTGCGAAGCCGGGGCGGATTGCTAGTAATTGTATAAATGTTGGTCTAGTTCTATACGAATGTTTAATATCTATTATTAATTACAATTTTATGATAAATTTAAGAATAAAAAGTTACAAGATAAATAACACACACATATCTATATATACAAATAAAAATCGATCTAGTCATAAATAAAAAAAATTGTCAAATTAGGTGTATATGTCAATAGTTATTATTATTTTATATTAATTGACTAAGTCAAGGTTATCAAGTCAAGAGAAGAAGATATCGCAAGTTAAAAACATGGTAAGTATTGTAGGCAAAGCTTGGACTCAATAAGAACTATGAATTATTTATATATAAATAATTTTATTAAAATTGTAAATATTTCTCTTACATTAGTTAAAATTTTCTTTTTCTTACAGGGACTTGGATAGTCCCAAGATCTTTGCATCTTCTTCAGATAGGCGTCCTTCTTTTAATCGTACTTTCAGTCTGAAATAAATGTTACAAGTTAGCGAAGGAGCTTTTGAGAAAATTAGTAGACAATGTATAAACAAAGGCAGCAAGGTTACAAAGTAACCTATTTAAAAAGTCATGGTATATTATTATCATACTCATGTCATAATTGATATCTTATTAAGTACATAATATTATGCCATGTGTGTTAAGTGATGGTACACAATGTTATTGTTCAGACAATTTTTTTTATAGAATAAAGGTGACAAACACACACTCCACCTGATGGTAACAGGATGCTGTTACATCTACATTTATCCTCAACTATGAATCTAAATGCAGATGCGATGACGCATTTGAGGACTAAAGCAGGCCATACACGCTAGGGTGTACCTGACCGGTTTACCTGTACAGTTAAACTGTACAGGTAAACCGGAGCGTGTATGTGGCACAACTGTGCAGGTTTCGACACCTGTACAGGCAAGTCGAAAAATATGAATTTTTATATTTTTTGCCTGCCGGTATACCTGTGCAGTTCAACTGTGCAAGCAAAACTGAGCGTGTGTGGCGGTAGCCTGCGCAGGCGTCCAGTGATTGCAAGAGAGGAAAGACACTCGTATATTCTCCCTGTTGCAAGGTATCTTAACATCACTATCAGTCTTTCATGAGGCGATATAGCTTTTCTAATTATTGTATCCTGCTTCTCAATTAAGGGAGTCCCCGCTGATAACAGTTTAAGATACGTTTTTTCATCCATTCGTAGATAATTGCGGTAATCTTTCGGCTCAAATTTCAATTGTTTCAATAACTTGATACGAGAGTACTGTTTTCTTTGCAGTAACCATGCTTTGCACCACTGTTCACGGTGTCTTCGTTTAAATTTTCTTTTCTTTCACTGTACAGGCAAACCGTTCAGGTACACCCTAGCGTGTATACTTAAGATAAAATGCCTTGCTTCCAGTAAAAGGGGTCTCCAGTTTTCCGCACTCACCATTCGAAACACAGCAGCGCGTAATTTATTACGATTGGATTTCATGGGTTTTATTTTTTTTCCGCGGAACCCTAATTCTTTTTCTAAAATAAAAGTAGCCTAAGTTACTTCTTATAACATCAGCTATCTGCCAGTGAAAGTACGGTCAAAATCGGTCCAGCCGTTTTGGAAATTAGCCGGAACAAACAGACTGACAGACAGATAGACAAAAATTTTAAAATTGTATTTTGGTTATAAGTACCGTATATACTTTCATATGCATATAGTAAAAAGCGGTTATTTTGACATTACAAAGAGACGCTTCAATTTTATTTATTTGTATAGATGTGTCAAATTGAGAATACTCTTAACCAACGAGCATGTAAATACTAAATACATATATTGGATGTGAAAGCAGCTAGAGAGGTGTGTCAGAATCGTGCTAAATGTAAGTCCGTAGTCTTTGCTTACCGCGGTACACTCTGGATAGCAGGTGTGACAGATTATATATTATATATTAGCGATATGTCCCGGCTTTTGCACGGGTGATTTCTGGATTTCGACAACAGGGCCATCTATCATGGCCAACTATAGCTCTAAACCATCCAGGTGACCCCATAACATCGGTCAAAGCCGTTTAGCAGGAGATGAATTACGAGCACACAAACACACGCACACGTAAAAGATAATGAAATACTGATTAATTCTTCATAAACATTTAATTCTTCATTATATGTGGTAGATCCATGCTGGAGATATATTAAAGTTGTAGCACGAATTGGTAAGCTCGACCGGGGAAGGACCACGGTCTCACAAAATACCAGCGTAAAATAAAAGCTTAATCCTGCTATGTTTCGTATGGTGAGTGTAGAGAACTGGAGACCCGGAGACTTTTACTGGAATCGAGGTGTTCCATCTTAGTCCGATTGACAATGCATCTGCATTTTGATTCTTTATTAAGGATAGATGTAGATGTTTATCATGTCGAGTGTAAAATGTGTGCTCGTTTGTCACCCTTATTCTATAAAAAATAAACATTATGTGATCTTCAACTTGGAAAGTCGTAGGCACGATACGAAGTTGTTCAATACCCAGCATGCCAGATTACCAGCGCCTAGTATACCGATCATTGGTGTGTGTATCACAAGCTTTAGTGAGTATTACTACAATAACTTCTGCACATTTAAAAGATTCCATAATTTAAAATTAAAAATTTTGTACAACCGACTTCAATATAAATTATTAAGAATAACTCAAAAACTATTAGTCAGACCTTGATAAAATTTATATGGGACTACATGTGAAGCACCAGCTTTCAAATAAAAAAAGAATAATCGAAATCGGTTCACACGGTAACACACATAAAAAACATACAGTCGAATTGAATACCGTCTCCTTTTTGAAGTTGGTAGGAAAGTGATGTATAATGCCACTGACCTTTCTTCATTATGCTTGACTGACCATAACTCGGGCATGTATTTTGGTTTCATTGAATGTAAAAAGTGAACTCTCCACATCTCTTCCAGTTGTAGCAGACCGTCGTGCTTGAGAAAGTATTCCACCACTTTGTGGCCGTGAGACTCATAATCTATGTTCTCAAAACTGTAAATAAAGTGAATGAGTTATTTAAGACAAAATATAAAAGACTTTGTTAGGGTTGTAGACACTTGTGTCCAATGAGGGCTTCCACTTTTTCTGCCACCAGGGCGGCGTTACTTTGGATTGAGGTGAAATATTTAACAGATCTCATGGCGGGAAGTTAAATTGTTAGGAAAATATAAAGTTTAATGTTTTGTTCTGAAACATTATTTAATAAACTTGTTTTGTTTTGTTATTGGGAAAAGTTTGTATGACGCCTTAAGTAAAATTGAATTCTTACAACAACGTGATGCTTTTTATTATATGTAAGGATAAGAATTCATTATATCATTAAATTCAACAAAAGACAATTTAAAAACCCAATAATAAATGTCGAAAATATTTGTCAGTTGCATATCTCTAACGAAATGGTTGAATTAACAGAACCAACGTACAATTTTAACCTGTTTTATTTGTTCTGTTCAAACCCATATCCAATATTTTAAGCGGCATAACTGACATACTGCTATATAGGTAAAATATAGTAAATTAGGTAGGTACATACTAGCACAAGCCTTTGTTTCCATCACGACGAATCAAGTGAAGCTGCGGAACGCAACTAGTTTTGTAAAGCAGTAATTAGTTTGTATCTTTGTATTGAAAATAAATTATTACGAGGAATACAGATAAAACATAATGTTATGATATTATTATTTAAGGAAATGTTTTGTGACAACTCTTGCATATTTTTAGCGACAAGACGTTTAGACAGCTTTGTAACCTACAAAGCTGTCTAAACGTCGTTTTTGCGGTATAACAGAGGAGTTGACGCACTATTTGTGTATTTATTACACACATGAAATAACTTCACCTCAGTCCCAACTAGCGACATCTGGTGAACGGTAAATTATTAGCCCTCATTGAAATACTTTATGAGATGTCAAAATGAAAATTTTCTATAGAAATGGTATAAGATTAACAATTAATGACGCTATAGTGCTTTTAAAAGAAATAGTCATCTTTTTTTGTAAATTTTAGAAATATAAAATTTTATATGACTTGAAGAAACATGTTGTGTTTATACAAATAATACACGATACAATTCAACTGGGTCCATCTAATTGTGCTACTGGATGATTACAACAGAAGAGATAACGATCGGCCGGATCTCAGTCGTTCTGTGCCCACAAAGGTCTACGGACATCACTGGCTTTATTTATCGATGGCACCTGATGAAAACTAAGAAAAGAATGGACCACATAATTATATTTAAGAGTGGAAAAATTTTAATAGAATAGAATAGAATCATTTTTATTCAATACTAGCTGTGCCCCGCGACTTCACTCGCGTGGAATTTATTACGATTAGATTTTATGGATTTTTTTTTTGCGCGGAACCCTAAATTTTTTCTAAAATTAAAGTAGCCTAAGTTACTCCTTGTAACATCAGCTATAGGCCAGTGAAAGTCCCGTTAAAATCGGTCCTGCCATTTCGGAGATTAGCCGGAACAAACAGACAGACAAAAATGCAAAAAATTGTTTTTGTTATAAGTACCATATATACTTTCATATGCATTTAGTAAAAAACTGTTATTTGGAAATTACAAACAGACACATACATTTTATATATTTGTATAGATGAGCCATAAAACATTACGTACTTTAATTCATTCATCCTATCAAAAACCACAGTTGACCATAGGCCCCCCATAGATAGAGATTCATAGGGGGAATATTTGCCAAAGTTGCCACGCTTGGCAGGTGGATTGGCAACCGCAGTTTTTTATTTTTTAGTTCCTTTTAGGAAGACGCTACTGAACATCTCCTGGTTTGTTTCACTCTGTCGCATCTTACAACACCCACGGGATGATATGGGGTAATGAATAATCTTACTTATTCTGGCATTTATAATAGTCGTCTCGTACGACACCTAAGGAACGAAGTAGGGTCATGAATTCCTACGCAGCCGCTACACGGCTACACAATTAATCCGTGTATATAATAATCAATTGCTGTCCGTTAGTTTCACTAAACCTCGAAACCGCTCGACCCGATTTTGATTTAAAAAAAATTGTGAGTGTTTTAATGGGTCCCGAGTTGGTTTAGATTCATATTTGGACCCGGTAGGGGGCGCTGTTGTCGAGATCCAGAAATCAAACGTGCGTAGCCGGGGCGAATCGCTGTCACTTAACTAAAGCAACTGAGAACTTACACAACTTGCATTTCAGCAGCTTCCTTCAATAAGTCCTCTGTAATATTGTCATGTTCTGGGAAGTGTTGCAGTATGACATTCTCCAACTCGTTCCGTCTCGTCTCAGGCAGCACGTGTTTTCTAGACTGGTACAGAAGTGCCCGAGCGGCGGACCGCACTTTCCTAATGACAAATAAGTGAAAGTTAGTAATAGCATTTTAACGTCACTCTCATTCGTAAGCAACTGTCTTCTCACTATCGAACATTATGTTGTTTTAGTGCGCATCTTATTATCCCTGAAATATTATAATGTAATAAAAACTTAATAAAATATATACTATATACTAGCTGAAGCCAGTGGCGAAGCTAGGGCTCCAAACTAGGGCAAGCCCAAGATATGGTTTTGTTGTTTTTAGCAGTTTTATAAAAATACACCAATCTTGATCTGTCTCCACTCTTCAGATTCATATTCAGTGCTGTCGAGGACGTGTTTAATAAAGCAAACAGAAGGCATACTACTGCTAGATAGATTGTATGACATATCAGCAATTGCATACCTTCGGTGGCTTTGAAAAAAGCCGTTTGGGTTTGCTTGAGCGAAAGAAGAAGATATTTACATACTCGTACAATACAATACATGAACAAAAGAAAAGCATGAACAAAGTACAAAAAAACTAAGTACAAAATTAAAAAAAAAACAAATTATTTATATTCTAAATCGAATCGTCTCTCTTTCTTAAGGAAAGATTTGATTACGTCCGCGTAAAATGTTGGTAAACGTTTTAATTGTATCAATAACTGTTTATGTGGATATGAGCTGTTTTCTCTCAACAAAGTTTAAAGATTTCCCTCGCCGATTAGCACTTTAACACACTTCAATTCATCACAAGGAACACTATTATCCTCGATTTTCACTAAAAATCTTTAAGAAAAGCATAAATTTTCAACTCGCAATATTCATTCGCTCAAGTAAACATTTAAATGTGAAGTGAAGTTGCAAACGTATCACTCTCACGCCCCCGTGCTCGAATAACTTCATACTAATTACTATATAAACAATCGTAGTTATGTTTCATTATAGAACATTTTGCCACAGGTTAGAAAGGGAGCGATCGTCTTCTCGAGAGCCCGGTAAAAAGCCGACGCGTGTATTAAGATAATGAACCCAACTTCAATAAAAAATATATTTATTTATTTTGACAGTGTTACAGTAAGAAGTTTATTACTACAATATTCGATTTTAAATGATTACAATTGTCTATTTATACTTAAGTTATATGCTACAAAACTATTTACTAAGCTTATTTACTGCATACGTTTGACCCAGATGGGATTGCTGATGATGTGCGAACGAATGAGATTTGGCAGGGGTGCTCAGCCTTAACTCCTCCCCCCTCAAGAGAGAAATTATCCGAAGGTGGCTCAAGCGACTTCGGAGAATTTCGACAACATAATTTGAATTTAATTAAAATGCTACATACTATACAGATTACTATAATGAGATATAAACTTATGGTCCATACACTGATTTCACTTGTTACTAAGAATTTTGTATTTATTTCGTTATCACTGAATTTAGCACTATTTATTAGTTCTTTTATATCAAATCTAACTGTTTTGCTTCTTTCTTGATGTCATCCTCTCGTACGGTTGGCATCTCGATTGTGGGAAGCTGAAGTTTGATATTCGCAAAGTACCTCGGAGCGTTGATGAATGTGTCTCCAACCTGTGTTCGGCATTCTTGATTAGGTATCATGATATATGTGCCTTGCACTTGGTATTTTTGTACATGTTCTGGACAGTGTTCAGTTATTATCAAGTCCTTAGTGGTATACAGTAACCAATAGTTCTTGAAGATCCTCTGGATTTTATATGTCTGGTTCAATTAGTGGGATATCTAATACAAAAACTAAGTTATTCCTATTGACATACGATTTAACTACTATATTTCTTTCTAACTTAATTAAATTTTCCTTATTTGCTGGGTAAATCAATTTGGCATATTTTTCTATATTTATTAACATATTTAATAGTTCTGTTGAATTTATGATTGATTGATGTAAAGTATGTAATTTACTAAAAGCAATAGCTGTTTCTATTTCTTGTATTACATCTAAAATTGTTCGAAAATTGTTCGAAATTTGATATAAAGTATTTAATATTGTTACAACATTTTTTTGAGACCTTTCCTTATGAAGTATAGAATCTATTTCCTGATTTTGTAAACGATTGACATTCGAATTTATGTCTTCCGACGCATTAACAAGCTTGTTAAATGCTTGTTGTAGCAAAGTGACTCGGTGTTCGACCAAATGTTCTCTATTATTCACCTGACTTATTTGTGAGTCGAAGTACCTAGCGTCTTCTTCATCTAAGTTGCCTGAGATAACTTTAACTAAGGAACCTAAAGGACTAAATATGGCTCGTTTACTTATTTTAGATATAGGTAAAATCTGATGTATTTTATTATTTGTTAAATCTATGGATGTTTCTATTTGCTTAATTAACCCCCTAAATTCATCTCCAACTTCACTATTATTACTAATAATCTTACTTACGCAATTATATTGTTCAATATTAATATCTATTTGTTCAACTACCAACTTTAAATCTAATGCTTTCAAAATGGTCCACGAGTTATTCCTGATCACTGCCATCCCAACTTTCAGAGGAGCTATCCCCGGATTGGTGTTCAGATTCTGTAGATCTAGGCCGTTGGACAGTTTTGCCAATGCCAGAAGTACTAGCCACGACCTGTGGAGGACGTTTAATATTTTTTATAGCTACTCTAGTTTGTCTCTTATTAAGTTTAACGGGTATTATATTATGATCCGGTTTCCCTATGACTTTGGCTTTTTCAAAACGTGGCTTATCTTTTGCTTTTCTTGTCCTAGTAGTTTTCATAAAAATATCGTCCCCTTCTTTAATTTCTGGGACTTCCTCACCTCCTCTTTTTTCTCTAACCTTAATCTTACCTGTCTGCAATTTCTCAGCTACATATTCATAAAGAACTTTAAGACGTTTTCTATGATCTTGTAAGAGCTTTTGCATCAAATTACGTTCTCTATCTATATCGAAGACGTTACCTGAATCGGTGGTACCGAAAACAATTTCAAATGGTGTAAAGGTTGTTGCGGAATGAATACTATTATTATAAGCCATTATCGCATATGTCATCACAGAGCAGGCATCAAGATCTGTTTTATCGTACTTAGCTAATCTATATATTTCGTTAATGGTGGAGTGGAATCTTTCAACTATTGCCATGGAACTAGGGTTATTTGGTGTTCCTATGTGGAGCTCTATTTTATAAAGATTTAGAAGTTCTTTTATTAATTCGTTATTAAATTCTGTACCTGAGTCGCTATTTATTTTCTGTGGTAAACCATACATACTAAAGTATTTAATTAAGGCTCTTACAACTTCAGGGGTACTGCGATTTGGGATGTTTATCGCTTGCCCTAACTTACTGAAAGCATCAACAATTGTCAAATAATATTTACTTTCTATGAATAGTAGATCTATGAAAACTTCTTGGAACGGTGTGCTTTGACTCTGTGTTAATTGAATATGAGGTTTTATAGGTTTCCTTTCATATTTCATCTTTTTGCATTGTTGGCAAGAATTTATTATAGCTGTTATTGTTTCTTTCATATTTTGCCACCAATAATGCCGTTTTAATTTATTAAATGTTTCTTGGATCCCCCTATGACAAGTTTTACCCTCGTGATATTTTATCATTATCTCTCGTTGGTCCTGCTCGGAATTGGTTAAGTTAATAATTCTTTCCGTACATTCAACAAGTTTGCAAGCTCCTTTCTTATATAATTGAATTAATACGTTTGAAAAATTTATCCTAAAAGCTGGGTCTTCGAAATAGATGAAATGTTTGTTTTTAAAGTCTACATATTCTTTCAGAAAGTCTTTAACTAATGTTTCATTATTTATTGGCATATGGACTTCTAAAATACGCTGCTTTTTGTTAGACATGTCCTTGACCGAAAATTTATCAGAAAACCACGAATAAACTAGTATTTGACGCGGTTTTGAGTCTATTGCTTCGTTTAAAATCGGAATGCCTTCGTGTTCCCTATTAGATACGGAGTTCGCTGTAACACCATCGTCTAAGATTTCCATCAATTCATGTTGTTTTTCACTTTCCGTATCTGAGATTGACACAACTGGTCCCGTCGAGGCTAATATGTGAAAATTCTCAATTCCAGTTAATTCCGAATTATTATACTGATTTGATGCAATACATTGTTGTGAATTGCAAAGTTGATTTATTACGCTATTGGTATAGTTTATTCTCCTTGAGTTAGCAGTTCGCATTGTTACATCGGTGTTCGAACTCGACGCCACAGGTGGCGATTGATATTGCGTTAAATGCTGAGTATGCGCAGGGGCATTGTCCGCGAAATACTGACTACGCTGTATCGGGCCCGTCGCTGGCGGTACTGGTGACCTAGTGGTCGATTGTTGTTGATAATTATTGCGATGGCTATTGTTATGGTTGTTATTATGCCTAAATTGGAATGAATTATTTGACGAGTTAAAAGAGCGGTTATTATTAACGTAGGGTGACAAATTGTTCTGATTATTAAATGCATTTGCACTAGATTGCTCCGTATGGGGAATATTTCTAGGTGAATAAGTGTAATTATTGTTAGGACTCGGCCTAAAGTTTGTTTGATTAGACCGTGAATTTTTACTTTCATAAACTGACTGAAAGTTTTGTTCTTCTAAGACAATTTTCAAAGCGTCTTCTAGAGTAGTCACGTTCCGTAATCTCACAAGTCTAACTAGATATGCCGGTAAATTATAAAGAAACGCATTTAGTGAACTATGGTTATAAATCGATTGTTTCGCTAGACGTAAGTTCGGATCGTCAAACGTTTCGCTAATCTTAGAAAATAAGACACTTCTCAAATGTTGTATCCTGTGACAAAATTCCTGGTAATTTTCATTACGGTTTAATTTTAAGGATTCGAGTTCCAAAGCCAAACATTCCTCGGATCTCGGGTCACCAAAATGTTGGCTTAGTAATGTTTTTAATTCGTCCCAATTATTAATATGATTCCGTTCTCCAACTAGGTTCGCAGCTTCCCCGGATAACCTACTTGTAATAACGTGGAATAAATATTCGTTTTGTAACTGGCTTCCTCGGAATGAATGGAGTATGTACTCGCATTTTTTTATAAAGAGTGGTAAAAGTCTAATATCACCATCGAAATTAGGGATAATTTTGACCATTTCCATAGGAACTCTCACTAAATTTTCCATTTTTCTTTCTTTTTGTTACAGAATACACTACCAATAAAAATAAAAAAATACTCTTCGGTTATTATTAAGTGAATTTATAAGGAAATTAAATGAAATAATTTAAATTCCTCAATTACTTAACTAATTAGAATAATTAACTAAGTGTGAATTTATCTAGTAATTAGGCGTAATTAATCCCACAAAACCAGAATATAAACACACACAAAATAAGAGAATAAGAAGGGTAGGAAAATACAGATTGGTGAAGAAGATCTACTCACAGTGCTGCAGTTTTCCCCATGCTCCTTCTGGAATATTAGTGCACTGTCTTTGAAGTTGGTCTGTTCGTTAATAAATTTGTTTGTTCCTTTTTTCCCGATTAAAACGTTGAGACGTACGACCGATTTTTCTGCGAAAACTTTTATTCGCCACGAAATAATACTTGGTCTTACGGGTCCCTACCGACTGCGCCAGTTAAGATAATGAACCCAACTTCAATAAAAAATATATTTATTTATTTTGACAGAGTTACAGTAAGAAGTTTATTACTACAATATTCGATTTTAAATGATTACAATTGTCTATTTATACTTAAGTTATATGCTACAAAACTATTTACTAAGCTTATTTACTGCATACGTTTGACCCAGATGGGATTGCTGATGATGTGCGAACGAATGAGATTTGGCAGGGGTGCTCAGCCTTAACTCGTGCGAGAGAGACGACTAATCGCTCAACTCAACTCCTTGTTTATGACAACATTATCACAGACACACACACACACACGCGCGCGCGCACACACACATACACACACACACACACACACACACACAAACGCGCGCGCGCGCACACGCACATGCACACGCACATGCACACGCACACGCTTGTCAAGGCCCCTTGTCAAGGAACTTTGTAGCTATAGCTTGGTCGTCATCGGTTAAGCAAGATGGACGCTGGTGGATGACTGCCCTGAGAAGGCATCTCGCGCAGTGGACTTACGAGCCCAAAACGGTTGTTGCCTGCAGCGGAAGGATTATCTTCTTACACTGCCTAAAGGCAGCCGAAGTAGAGTCGCTGAGGAAGAGCAGTGCTGGTATGGCCATACCAGACACTCAGACAAACAAACTCAACTTCTTGGCATACTCACGTATACATTTTTTCTTACTTTATAAGCCCGTAAAGTCCAAGGCTAGATGGACAAATATGCATCTAAAATCATATTTTTGGTTACAAATTATTTAACATGCATATGTATACGTGAGTGCACACATATAACACATTACAATAAGTCGAGCATGGTTTCGGCTTCGTTACTGCTTCACTCGAAATATACGTAGTCTTTGTCGGACATGTTTAGAGTACACTTGACTGTCTAAAAACCGTCAAAATTTCACAAAGGAAGTATGTGCACAGAGCCTATAGTCAAAGCTGTATAACTCACTTAAACTCCGGGTCCTCCTTGTACTTGCCCTCACCGTGCACACTTAAGGGCGCCTCACACTGCGCCGCAAGTTGTTCGCGCACAGACTGGTCTCGCATGTTGCTGCGCTGGTGACACTCCACGCACAGCAAGACCACATCGTGGGACGAGTGATCCTTCATTATTTCTACGGAAAGATGCGGCAAATAAAATCTTTGTAAAATACAATCCTTTAAGTAAAACTGAAATAAAGCTGAATTAATTCATTTAATACTTAAAAAACCGTACTTCAAAAAAAGTTTAAGCTGTATCTATATATTTGTTAAGCTTCTACAATATAGACACGATTAAATGTGAGGGCAATAACAGTGGAAGATGTGAAGTCATTAAAAAACGTGTGTGTGTGAGCGTGTGTGTACTTATGTAGTAATGTAGGAAGTTATACTTCTTTAGCGTAACAAAACAAAAATAACCAAAAATTATTTAAGATCCTGGTGACAATTAATTGACGGCTCCGTGGCGCAGTGGCTAAGCAATTTGTAGCAGCGCTAAGGGCCGCGGATTCGATTCCCGCACGGAACAAGTATTTGTATGGCCTACAAATAATGGTTCCGGATCCTGGATCTTTGTCCTTGAGCAATTTATGTTTATAAACTGCCTCCATTAAACAATAAAGAAGAAAATAATAGTGTGGGGTAACGTTTTTATGAAAAAGAAAAGCTTTAAAAACATACTGTTAATTGATATATAACTGCATAGCTAGTTAACTGATTGCCTCATTGGTGTAGTAATCGTAAATGCGGCTGCTGCTCACGTGGTTCCGGGTTCTAATATCGGGTCGAACCGGGCAAAAATTAGTTATGGAATTTTTCAAAAAATCAAAAAATCAATCAAGAAATCAATCCGAAGTCAGGAAGATTGCCATATTTCACCCCTGTGCTTTGGAAAGCACGTAAAGCCGTTAGTCCTGCACCTAATCGCTTTCCAGCCGTATCAATTGCCGTCCCATCAAACTGTGAGAGGGGGGGAATAAAGAGTGCAACACACACTTGTACATAATCTTGCATAATCCTATCCAGCGCATTTAGCTAGATTCGTTCATTAGACAACATTATTACTATTATTATATCTTAAACCCAATAACTGTTTTTTGATCCGATCCAGGATTAACTGTCACGTTTACGACCACTGAACCTACGAATCAGCCAAAGCCAAAGCTTTTTGTTAACAAAAAAAATAATACTATAATTGTAATATAAATGCGTAATATGAACACTCGCCTGGAAAATACTTCCTGTACTCCCTGGGCACAACATTCTTCCGAATGTACGAGTTGTTACTGCCGCAAACTACGCATTTGTTTTCTTTAGTGAGCTGGTAGTATCGGCCCACGTCGCCCACGGAGCGCCCGGCTGGCTCAAACCTTAGACGAACTGTGAGGGGATCTTTGACCACTATATCTGCCAATTCTTTTTCAACGTACCTATAAGCACATCACTCTATTATAACATGTGGGTTGGTGTTTTGAAAAGAGAAAATTTCTTTCAAAAAACTTTCATCTAGATCCCTACCTAGGTGGAGTTAAGCACACCTTGCTAATAGATGAGTCAAAAAATGACGGTATTTTCTAAATCAAACTTCAGAATGTAATGAAGAGTATCAAATCCTTTCTGTGAAAGGAGTATACCGTACAACGGACGTAAGTACAACGTTGGTAAGGCGATTCGGTAAACCTATCACCACTACTCCCGCCTATATATGACGATACGGTCACGTTGTTTACCATCTGTAGGGTTTGGATTCAGTAAATATCAATGGATTTTCTGCCATTAAGCCAGCATGAAAAGCGTCCACGACATTTGTAATGAGCTAACAACAGACTTTGAAAGGTTGACTTTAAATATCTTTACGAGAAAACTTAAAAAATTGTTTTTGGAAAATGCTACTACTAATATGTAATAATAATTTTATGTAATATAATTATTGTTATTTTTAAATATTGCCTATTAAATTTTAACTGACATGTATTTTTAATTTAATTTGACATAATCGTGGATTACACTGATTAGTTTATTTAAATTTCTATCTTTCTGGTACATTACAATTGCACACTATTAATTTAGTTGAGTGTTATGGCCTTTAACTGTATTAATTCTATAAGATTGATTAGTTGTTTATAGTCGAATATTTTTTTCATCTTATCAATTTTGTTTCTTTGGCTAAAGTCACTTAATTTAGTTAAAATAAACAAGTGTCTAACAGTGTTCCTTGATTTATCTAAAGCTTTTGACATAGTCTCTATCCCAGACTCGTTAAAAAAGCTAGAAAGGACCGGTGAAAGGGGTATTCCACAAAAAAAATTATGGAAGACTGTTTGACCGATAGATGGCAACGGGTTCGTTTGGATCATTATACTTTAAGTGACGAGTTGGTCGAGTCGAGACGATTTGGGGTGTCTCAAGGCAGCATTCTCGGTCCGACACTCTTTTTGGTATATTATATTAATGACCTATGCCAGCTTTAACACTAAACTAAAGGAAAAATAATCACCTTTACTGGTGACACTGCTCTGCTAACTTTATTTTTCTACATAGTCTCCTAACAAGCCAATGCATTTAGACAATTTTGTTCTAAGCCCAGAATTTTTTTAGAAAAAAAAATCTTTATCTTGGCGTCTATCTTGGCGGCTTTAAAAAGCCTCAACAGAGTCTATCACTTCGCCATTGTCTGCAAATTTCTTGCTTCGAAGGTGTTCCTTGAGCCAAGGAACTCGAAATGTTGAGTCGTTTTTTCTTATGCTCGTCGGTTAAAATAATTCTCAGTACCCAATGCGCAGAGACCGTTTTCATATGCAATTCGTTCGCAAGGATTCTTTGGACACTGAAATTTGAGATCTCAGTGATCTCTGCTATTCATTCTTCGATCTGCCAATACGACATTTTCTACTTTTTTCACGTTATCTTCAGTGAGGAATGTGGATGGGCGCCCTTCGCTATGTTTAGTCTTCCGTGGATGTTCTGCCCAGCTTAAGCTCCTTGGCCAAGCTTGCAACTGTGGAATATGGATGAGCAGAGTCCCACAATGTTACCACCAAGGCGCTGTGTGTCTTTGGTAGACATTTTTTTTAAACAGGTATTTGATGAATCTCTATGATAATTCGTATTCAAATGAATGTAATTCCCAGGGATCTTTTTTTTCTGATCTAGTAGGTACATAAACAAGCAAAAATAAACTATTTTTGGTTTTTTATGTGCACTGGAAATAACCGATTATCATTACTTTTGGATCACCCCTCGTAAATGGCTTAGTTATAATGTCTTTACACTAAATATTGACAAAACAAAGTACATTGCATGTGGTCATAGGGTTAACTTTCCTTCCACCACTATCTTTGACAATCACAATCTACACCTGTGGTCGAAGACTTCCCGTTCTCTTTTTTGCAGTGAAGGGACACGCTTGTGTTTTGGAGGCGTTGAATTTCACAAGATTTGCATCGCCCCATTCGGAGACTGTCTGTAGTGTGAGATTCACACGCTCTGCCATAGCTTCTCCTTCGGACTGGATTTGATCCCGACTGGTCCTAGGACTTGGTTGGTATCTCTCCACAACTGTGCTATCGTCTGCATACCCATAGATCCGGGCATAAGCAGATCATTACTATGCAGCAGGTAGACAGTAGCGGAGACAACGGACTCCTGAGTAACACCGGCGTTAGTCACCATAGGATCGGATGAGCAGCCATCGATGACAACCCTGAGAGACCGTTCACTCAGAAAGTCATTTACCCATTCAATCAGACCAGGGGATAAGCCGTACGCTGGAAGCTTACCCAAAAGGCTAGTGTGCCAAACTCTGTCAAAGGCCTTCGAGACATCAAGGGAAACAGCACGTGCTTCCCCACTGCTCTCGAGTGCCTCGCCCCATACATGTGAGGTATACGCTAGAAGGTCCCCAGCTGACCGATTTCGGCGAAACACATGTCACTGGTCAAACGCTTCCGCTGCTAAAGGAGATTTGTGTGCGGCCTTAACGTGTGCGCGTTCAAGTTACATAACAAAGGAAGTAGCTGGTGACATCCTCGTGGGAATATGGAAGAAGATGATCAGCGAGACTTGGAGTAGCCAGGACCCTGATGCGTCGGTCCCAGTTTTTGGAGGCAAGCCCGTATACACGGAGGGTGTCCTGAAGCTATGGTACGACGATCAGAAAGCTTTAGATTGGTTGAAGGGGAACATTGCTACCGTCGATATTAAATCCAACACCATCAAAAAACAGTCAGAGATACCGCAAAAAATTAAGTGTGGTATCCTTATCCGTGGTTGGGACCTGGGAACACTCACGCGTCTTTGGTCGTGTACTGGCGTACCAAAACCGCTGGGTAAACATCAGGGATTGGCTGTTGCTCAAGGCCGACAAACAGACGGTCGGGTAGTTCCTCGTTGTTTCGGTGCCGGAGGATCATATTCCGATATAAAAGCCGGACGCCTCCTCCCATGTGTATGTGAGGCAGTCTACGTGAAATTCCAGGGTCGTGGCCGAAAATTCTATGATACTTCACCAAGCAAAGAGGCGGATAACAACCCGGAAGTCATGGATACCGGGGCAGCGGAATCACTGGCTGCCAAGTCCAGTGACAAAACGGCCTGCACAACTAAGCCGAAGACACCAGTAGAGATCCGGCTCAGCGGCAGGTCACTGACTGACGAAGAGGACGGCATTTTGCAATGCATGGCACACTTGGTCGATTCAGATTTCAGCTTCCGACAGGCGGTTGTCATATTGAGCAACCCTATCCTTCACCTCCTTTATCTCTTTCCCAAAGGTAGCGTGAAGGTCTTCCATGAGGATCATCTGCTCTTCCTTATAGCGTTTGAGCTGCTTTTCCAAACAACGGGCCTGTTCCTCCTGTCCGCGCTGCAGCTGTTCTTCCAACTGACGGGCCTTTTCCTCCTGTCCGCGCTGCTGCTGCTCTTCCAACCGACGGGCCTGTTCCTCCTGTCGGCCTGCTCCTGCAGCATCATCATCAGAGTACATAAGTCAGGTGCTGCAGATGCAGGAGCTGCTGACGGGCCGGCCGCCGTGGTCAGCAGCTGGCCCTCCGACGTTTGCGGCGTTGCATTACCAAATCGTCTCTGGTCCGTTTCCAGCTGGCGTTGACTTCGGGTGCGGATACCCTCCATGTCGTCCTTTGGTAAAATCGGCATGATTTGATCACACTTTTGACACCAATTGTTACGAGCTTGGGGTTCGAGACAATTAAAAACTGCCGATTGAATTACCAAAATTGACACTTTAATTATAAAACACTAATTACAACTTAAACCACACTAATAATAAAACGCAATTGTACTACTGATCACTTTAATTCGCAGTTATTTCGCTTCGAAGTATTCGCTTATATCGCCAATTCAATACTGACTCGGTCGCGGTCTATACCGGACTTATATAGGGCCTCAGATAGTTTCCAGAACCTTCTACTGTAGAAACATCTAGTATGTTCGAGTACATATCAGTCCTGAAATTTCTAGAAAGATCTTGACTCTCCTAGTTCTGCCACTCGATACTAGAGAGCGCTAGTGGTAACTAGTACTGCCATGTACAAGACATTAATAGTGGCGCGCAACAATAGTATTCAGTCTCTCACAATGTTAGGTCCTTACTACATTGTTATTGTAAAATAGCCACTAAGTTTGGTGAAATAAATAAATTGAATTAATTCTATCATATTGTGCAATTATTGTGGCAAATAAATTCTTGTTACTTTTATTCTTATTTATGTACCATGTGCTAGATAAAGTTCACAAAAAGTCCAACATGGCATCCAAGCATACATATATAATAATAACATTACTTAATAGTAACTAAACACATACGGCACATACCATTCAGCCTTTTTAGTGTCACAGGTACATAATAACTCCCCATCCGGAGCTTGCAAGAAGCAGTTGTGATATAGAGGTTTGCTCCGTGTCGCGTGCGGGTAACGTTTGCTTAATAAGTTTTCTTTAATTTCCTTCCCTTCCCTTTCTTTGTGCCTAAAAAGAATAAATAAGGAAATATTAATATATAAAATAAATCAAAATTATTTATAATAGAATACAAACATAAAGTTCTATTTCACATAGTGAGAGCTGGAATTGAGACATCCTTAGTCATAAAAAGAATTTTTGAAGTTACACTTCTTTTGGGTCGTTCGGGAAAAATTATGAGAGTGAATTTTTTATGAAGCGTTCGCAAACTGACAGCCTAAAAACGACACCATAAAATTGTTACGATGCGCGCGCACATTGACACCTCAAAGCGACAACTTCATTGGGTAACTGTCTCTTAAGTTTTCGTGGGAACTAATAACTATATTTAATGTAGTTATTTTTAGTTATTTTTGTTTTGTTACGCTAAAGAAGTATAACTTCCTACGAGCGTACATAAGTACACACACATACACGTTTTTTTTAACTATTATAAGCACTGGGATTGACTGCCATCCCACCTGATGGTAAGTAGTGACGTAGTCAAAGAATAGTGGTGAAATTAACTAAACAAAAGCCTTTCTACTCTTGCATTTAAGACACCCATATTGTAAGAAGACAAATGCTAGCAAATTCCACATGTTGCTGTATACACGATGAACGACAAAACAACCTGTTTAGTTTGAATGCTTCGTATGTTTTTATATGTGGTAGAGCCAAAATGTAGCAGCAGCATGTGCAGCTACATTATGCTTGTACCAGGAATGGGTCGGTCGACCGGAGTATAACCACGCTCTCACAGAATACCAGAGTAAAATAGGAGCTCAATGCTGCTGTGTTTCATACAGTGAGTGTAGAGAACCGGAGACCCTTTTTACTGGAAATGAGGCATTACATCTTGGTCCTCCGGGGTGGCAATGCATCTGCATTTTGATTCTTAAACGAGGACAGATGTAGATGTCTGTGAGCCACAGCATCTACTTAACATCAGGTGGACTGCGTGCTTATTTGTCCCCATAATTCTATTTAAAAAAATGTTAAAACCAAGGGGGTGAAGAAGTTAGGCAAACACAATTCGTGGAGTTTTGACCACAAGTGCACAAATTTTCCAATATTTTGAAAAATATGTGGATGAGTACAAGAATTTTTGCATAACCCATCTCAAATTCTCTTCCGAGCAAAAAGGGGCCTATTGAAATATGCTGTTTCTTACTGAAATGTATCATTGGAATTCAGAGACCACCTTCAGTTTGGGGTTGTTGTTACAAATTATAAGTAAAAAATAGAGTTGTACCAAGTAACAACAGCCTTAATTGTCCAACAGTTAAGTATAATAATTAAATGAAAAAATAACACCTTTTATTTTAAAGTCAGATTTTTTAAAATAACTTACATTAATTCACTCCGTAACTTAGCTTTCTGCTTAGTTTTAAAGCTAACGTCTGCATACTTCCAATAGACTTCATTGAGATCGCGCCAAATGTTGTTATTATTAGAACCTCGCAACCAAGACCACAAGGACCAATTTCGTTCATTAATCATATTTACAAATATCTTGATAGCAACATGTGCATCGGCAGCTGCATATTTCACTTGGGCTTCTGTTAATTCCTGTGCCTCCCAATTACTACAACGCACCTGAAAATAAAATAAAGTATATCTTTAAAGTATGACTCTACAATGGATCAAGGGACACAGTGGATCCAGAGGCAACGACGCAGCACACCAACTGGCCAACAGAGTTTCAGCTCTGGGGCTGGAACCGATCAGACTAATTCCTATTGGTAGCATTCTGTCACTGGTATGTGAACAATTCACTAATCGACATGCTCATCATTATCATCATTACAGCCCTTCACAAGACTTCCTGCATGTCTTACCAGGTCGTCACTCCATCTAGGGGGGGGGGGGCTACTGGGAACTATGGCCGGCCCACTGCCACTTCAGGTTATTAATCCTTTGGGCTATGTTGGTCACTCTGATTCTACTACAGAAATCCTCATTTTTAAGTTTATCAAGCAACTGATAAACTTAGAAATGAGGACTCTCAAGGTCGCTCACTGCGCGACCTTGAGCGTCCTCATACGGCCAGGAGTGAATGATCCCGTCTCAGATCCGTAAGTCATCACTGGCAACGCACTAGTTGTACAATCTCGTTTTCAGGTTTTGAGGTATACCTGACGAGATGTCGTAATTTTCCGAACACTGCCCAGCCGAGTTGAATCCGTCGATTGACCCCTCGATCGAAATTCGTATGAAGAAGAAGGACTTTCGTCAGACGTCAACAACTACGAGCTTAGTGCTGCCACAACAACCAGCATAGGTGTGACATGGACATTAGACGTGGTCTTTGTTTTGTCCATGTTCATCTTAAGACCAATCTGTTGGGAGACACTATTGAGGTCATTGCGCAGTGCATAGGTCCTCCAGCGATTCTGCCATAAGGACTATATCGTCGGCAAATCGAAGGTGAGTGATGTACTCGCCATTGATGTTAATACCGTATCCTTTCCAGTACAGTAGCTTGAAAACGTCTTCCGATGCAGGGGTGAAGAGTTTCGGGGATATTACGACACCCTGTCTTACACCTCTCTGCAGTTGGATAGGTTTCATACGCTGGCTCTGTACTTGGATATCCATCGTAGCCCTACTGTACAAACACTTCAGCACTTCGATATACCAACAGTCAACTTGGCACCGCTGAAGGGATGCTATAGCCCAAATTTCAATGGAATCAATGGCTTTCTCATAGTCCACATACGCAAGGCAAAGTGGCAGATTGTACTCTTCGGTCTTCTGTACAATTTGCCAAAGGGTATATATGTGATCTATGGTACTAAAACCTTTTCGTAAATAGGCTTGTTCAGACGGCTGGAAGTCATCAAGTCTGTGTGAGACGATTCGTAATGAGTCTTGAAAACAGCACGTAGACGCGGCTCAGAAGGGAAATCGGTCTGTAGTTCTTCAAGAGAGTATTGTCGCCTTTCTTGAAGAACAGGATCACCGCACTTCTGCTCCATGCCTCGAGTGGTTCCGGAGGACGGAATTAAAGAGCTTCTGAAGTACTACAAGTACCGGTTTTCCACCCGCTTTCAGAAGCTCCGCTGTAATTCCATCCTCGCCTGGGGCCTTACCGTTTTTAAGGTGCTGGAGAGCCATTCTAATCTCGCTCCGACTGACGTCCGGGATATCATCGAAATAGTGTCCGATAAGACTTGTGGCTCAAACGATGACGTGTACAGCTGTCCATATAAACTCTCAATCTCACTCAAAATCTCAGGTGTCCCGGAAACAATGCTGCCACACTCGGTCTTAAGCTTTGACAGTTGGCTCTTTCTGGCAGACAATTCTCTGGCAAAGACTTTGGGGCCCTGGTTCTGCTTGATCGCTGTATTGAAGTTATTTATTTACCATAGGTGTTACAAGCAGTCCCCTGTGCAGAGCATGTATGAGGGAGGAGTCGGCGGCCCACATGTTGCTGACATGTTCGGAAGTCGCTACATGCAGGGCTGAACATCACTCCCTGAAGTTGCTGGCAACATCAAGGGACTGCTGAACTTCAAGGAAATTTCGTGGGTCGAATAATTGTAATATTCCTGGCCACATGCAAAATACGCGCTTAAACGTGGAATTGCGGCAAATAGCTCATAGTACACTAAACTAATAAGGTATATCAAGCATTTTAGGTGATCACACTAGATGTATTTGTCGTGTCTTGTGTACAAAGCTACGCAAAGGAATATTAGAGGTCAGAGACTATATTACCAATTGAAATGTTTCAATGTAGTGCACTAGGTTTGTCAACTTTTGTTGGTTAGAGAAAATTGAGCTAGATGACTACTGGTGTATGCTATTTCAAAAACAATGTCATTTACTCTACTGTAAATATATCTGTTGTAAATTTTATGATTTAAAGGAACCCACAGTATACACCTAGCCATGTATACTGAGCAATTTTGATTTTTGTCATATGGTTTCCAGTGTAATACCATGGCATGCATTTATCATTAATTAATAATTACAAGAAATATAATATTAGCCTTACCCTCCAACTCTTATCCAAAATAATACGAAGGTGTGATTTTGCTAGGAAAGCTAGCCCTCCCGGTGCATATCCAAACAACTCAACTATGTGTCGTAAATCCAGTGTAGATTTTAATGCCACTCCATAATCATTTAATAAGTACTTGGCATCATCCAATGGCGCCACTCCCACTTTGTATATGTTTTCATCTTCTAATAGCTCCTAAAACATTTTGAATAATGTAACACTCACAAAAGATAAGGGTAATTACATTTCATCATCATCAACAACCCCGTTGGCAGTTCATTGTTGCAGTACATTCTCATTTATCTGTAACTTTTGTAATGTGACCTAATGTGTATGATCCACCCATGAAAAAACACATTTTTGATCTGACTTATGCATTGCTGAAAGCCCATTACAATCACAGATCCAAATACCAGATTAAACAGAGGCTGGACTACTGCTCTTCAACTGTGTTTCATTGTAATAGATACCATATGGTTTAAAACTTGATGAAGTTGTAGTTTTATGGGTTTTTAAATATTTTTGTAACAATGTTTTTTTCAAAAATCAAATAATATTCCAATAAAACAAAGTGTATTTAATTTCATCAATTGAATAATCTGTTACCAAGCTATGAGAAATTTTAGGATATTGTTAAAAATTTAACTTAACAACATATGTTTAGGTTATAGTTACCGCCGAAACTAGAAAAGGAACCAAATACTTGGTTACACTTTTGGACTTGGCTGTAAACTTTGTTTCAGTCGGACTCTAATATCTATTAGTTACTGACTATGATGTATGAGCAAACCTTAATTCTTGTTGAATAACAATTATATTAAAACTACTTATGTACATCACTTATGTTAACAATAACTAAAATGGATTTTTGTGGGAGGCCTATATTCAGCAACGAACTTGTGATGAACTATAATGAAAATGATGGTAATGTTATATTTAACACCTGAAAGGAACTTTAAAGGAACAAGAGCCCAGCTAAAATTATAAAAACTATAATATGCAAGTTCTTTATAAAAAACAAGTAAAATTGTGCTATTTAATAAAAGTTAGTCAGTTTCTAGTATATGTTTATACACAAAACAATGCCACAATGCTGTGTTCTTTAATTATTTACACATTTTTAACTTTTTTTTTTCATTCTTCTCCTTTTAAGAATATCTATACTTTGATTTATCTATTTCTTATCTTATAAACATAAAACATAACTATTATTTCAGAACATTTTTCTAACAAATAAACAAATAAGAAATAACCATGAAATCTGTCAAATATTTCACCCCACTTCAAAGTGTTTGCTCTTAAAAATTGGGCGAATTAAGTTGATTTTTAATTTCATTGTTTATTAATGCCATTTATTGTTAAATAAGGTATTTACAAGATATTTACAAGAGCAATTTTGTGTGTTTTACAATACTAAAGAAAATACACCTAAATGGTGTTTTGTCCGTTCAAAAAAAATCTGTAAAAAAGAAAATAGAGGATACTCTTCTATGCCATCTGAATGAACGTCATAACTGTTAAAAAAAATTATGAACACAGGCAGGCATTACCAACAGGAGCATTTTTTCAAAGGTGCAAGTTACACATTTTAATTTGTTTACTTACCTTTAGAGAACTGGGGATTTCCTTTAAGTGACTCAGTCTAAACAGACCACAATAACCATCAAATGAAGATAGCTGAACTAAAGCCACAGGTTGTCTTCTACCTTGTGTTGTTACCCATTCACAATCAAATCCCACCGCCTTGTGCAATTTAATCTGTCTGAAAACAATATTTTATCTAAAACAAAGCATTTCAACATTTTAATAATGAATAGGTTGATAAGCGTGTAGTGGCGGTGTAAGTATATTCACTACCCCATATCATACCGTTGGTGACATAAAAAGCGACAGAGGCAGTCGAAAACTAAACATATACAAACAAAGTAGTAGCATCTTCCTGAAAATAACTCAAATTTATTTTAAAAAAATCTGCGGTTACCAATCCCCCTACCAAATGTGACAACTATGGCAAAATTTTCCCTATTAAGCAATCTATGGGGGAGGCCTATGTACAGCGGACTTATATAGGCAGTCACGGAGTCAGATTCACAAAAAAGTGAGGATAATATTTATTACTAATTCAGAATATTTGTAACCTGCGTAATTCATATATAACTTCATTGCACGCTTCTTCTGTTGTGACTATTTTATTATTTAAATACGATAAAGCCTCAGCTGCGTTTCTATGTCTTAATTTATATTTTAATACCAAAAGAGTAACGCCGGCACATCCGATTGCAAAAACTGTTGAGGTTATACCAGCTTTTAATTTTGAATAAGATCCCATTATACAAAATATTAGTTACACAAATAAAATGGTCAGGAAATTAATAAACTGTTAAAAAATCATCGAATAGATATAAAATTTATTGTCATAAATTTCCATTCGAAACTTAATGATAAAAATAAACGTAGTGATTATATTCTCATTGGATAAAAACAAAAACACATTTTTATTTATTACAATTTTGGCTTAGATGCTTGTCTTTTAAGCCATGGCACATAGATTAATAATTTTTACTAAAGACCATAGATAAGCATAAGCTTATATAAACGGGAGGATACAGAGAATAGAGATTATGCTACTATATTTCTCTGACTACGCTAAAGACAAAGCTTTCGGGTGTCTATAAAGTGGACTAGGTTGCTACAACATATCAAATAATCTGTGACACTAATTAGTATGTATGCTGTGGAATTCTGGCGTGAACTTAACTGGCAGTGGATTCCTGTACCTGTAATAGGACAGTTACCATACTCTTTGGGCGGCTTGCTGCTCCTGTATTATTGTTTATTTAATGGTTTGAAGTGTATTTTGTCATGTAAAGTTGTGCGATTTTGTGTATTAAATGTTTGCGCGTTGCTGGCTCAAGTTGCCGTCTAAATCTCCAAAAAAACTCCGCAATGTGATGCGTTCACATATTGCGAAGCAGTGTCCTATAAGAAATTATTATCACATGATAGTAAAAATTATAAAAACGAAAATTCCAAATGAAATGAAGACATGACTTAAAGAATAAGCATCCAAGCCAAAGATCTTAATAAGAAAATATATATTGTGAGTAAAAAACTATACTTTCAGACGACTTCAGAACATTTTATTAAGCCTTGAAAACATTTAAAGTGGATTTTGATAGGCTTAGGCATTCGGGTAGAATCTACTAATTATTCTGTGGCTTAGACTGTAATAAATGCGAGACGCCTTGAAGTGATATATGAAGACCAAAGAGATTTAAATAAATCTACTACTGTCTTTGATGAAGACTTAGTTTAAAGGACAAGCATCCTAGCCAAAAATCTTTAAAAAACGTCATTGATTTATGTACACTGTACACAGAATATAAAATAAATATGAAGCAAGCTAATTGTGAATTGTATTCAAAGTCAAAAGTTTAATTATATGTTGCAACGCATATGTAACCTGTGTAATATATTTACTTTAATATTCTTTAGCTAAATATAATTACTGAACTATGGCGCGAGACAGAAGCCCAGAACGACGGCGATCTCGTTCTAGAGAGAGACGTGAAAGAGATCGCCACGACGATCGTGAGTCCCACCGAGATAAAACTAAACGTCGCGAACGATCAAGAAGTCCGCGAAAAGAAAGAGATAGATCTAGAAGTCCAGCAAGAAAGGAAAGGGATCGGTCGAAAAGTCCTCGTAAAGATGGCGATAGATCTAAGAGTCCATCACGGAAAGAACGCGGACGTTCCAGAAGTCCTAAGAAACGAGAGGCTAAGGAAAAACGTTCAGATGATAAAGATAAAGGCAAGAATAAGAAAGAAGAAGACAAAAAGGAAAATGAAGAAAAGCAAGAAGAAGAACAAAAACCAATTAAAAAAGAGCCTTTATCATTAGAGGAACTTCTTGCAAAAAAGAAGGCTGAAGAAGAAGCCAGAAGTAAACCTGTTTTCTTAACAAAAGAGCAGAGAGCTGCTCTAGCCTTGGAAAGGCGACGTGAACAAGTAGAAGCAATGAGAGCAAATGTCGAAAAGCCTGCCATTGCCACTATTGATCTTACAGGATCTTCTAAGAAGGATGATGAAAGAAAATATAGAGAAGATAGAGAAAAAGAACGAGAAAGAGAAAGAGAACGTAAATATGAAGAAAGAAAAAATGCTGCTGATAGAAGAGATGATAAGAAAGATAAAAATGAAGATCTATCTAAAAATAAAGATAAGGAAAGAGAAGAGGAAGCTATTAAAGCTCGCTATTTAGGAATTGTTAAAAAGAAACGCAGAGTCAGAAGATTAAATGACAGAAAATTCGTTTTTGATTGGGATGCATCTGAGGACACATCAAATGATTATAATGTTTTATATAAAGAAAGACATCAAGTACAATTCTTTGGTCGGGGACATATTGCTGGCATTGATATTAAAGCTCAGAAGAAAGATCACAGTAAATTCTATGGAAATCTTTTAGAGAAACGTAGAACTGAATTAGAGAAAGAACAGGAAAAATTAAGGTTAAAGAAAGTTAAAAGGAAGGAAGACAAACAGAAATGGGATGACAGACATTGGTCTGAAAAAGATCAGGATGAAATGACTGAGAGAGACTGGCGAATCTTCAGAGAAGATTATAATATTACTATTAAAGGGGGAAAAATACCTAATCCTATTAGGTCATGGAAAGAAGCAGGATTTCATCAGGATATAATGGAAATTATTAACAAAGTTGGGTACAAAAGCCCTACACCTATCCAACGACAAGCTATTCCTATAGGATTACAAAACCGTGACATCATAGGTGTTGCTGAAACGGGTTCAGGAAAAACTCTTGCATTTCTCATTCCTCTTCTTACATGGATACAGTCATTGCCAAAGAATGAGCGTATGGAAGATGCTGATCAAGGGCCTTATGCTATTATTCTAGCACCCACAAGAGAGTTGGCACAACAGATAGAAGAAGAAACAAATAAATTTGGTATACCACTTGGTATTACATCAGTGGTAGTAGTTGGAGGTCTATCCAGAGAGGATCAAGGGTTCAAACTAAGGTTAGGTTGTGAAATTGTTATTGCCACACCAGGTCGTCTTATAGATGTATTGGAAAATAGGTACTTAGTATTAAATCGTTGTACTTATGTCGTTCTTGATGAGGCTGATCGTATGATTGACATGGGTTTTGAGCCAGATGTGCAGAAAATTCTAGAGTATATGCCTGTATCTAATATCAAACCGGATACAGATGCCGCTGAAGATGCTGCAGTATTGCTGGCAAATTACAATACTAAAAAAAAGTACAGGCAAACTGTCATGTTTACTGCAACTATGCCCCCAGCTGTGGAACGCTTAGCAAGAAGTTATCTTAGAAGACCAGCTATAGTCTACATTGGATCAGTGGGCAAGCCAGTTGACAGAACTGAACAAGTAGTCTACATGATAGGTGAGAATGAAAAGCGAAGAAAGTTAACAGAGATACTCCAGCGTGGAGTGGAACCTCCAATTATTATATTTGTCAACCAGAAGAAAGGTGCCGATGTGCTTGCAAAAGGTCTGGAAAAGCTGGGCTTCAATGCATGTACTTTGCATGGTGGCAAAGGTCAAGAGCAGCGTGATTTTGCTTTGGCTAGTCTTAAAAATGGTTCAAAAGATATATTGGTTGCTACGGATGTTGCTGGACGAGGTATTGATATTAAAGATGTGAGTATTGTCATAAATTATGATATGGCAAAATCAATTGAAGATTATACACATCGTATTGGTCGTACTGGTCGTGCAGGAAAAACTGGTAAAGCAATCTCTTTTGTCACCAAGGAAGACTCTGCAGTGTTCTATGATCTTAAACAAGTATTGCTTAGCAGCTCCGTTTCCACATGTCCTCCAGAACTCATGAATCATCCTGAAGCTCAACACAAACCAGGAACAGTAGTCACTAAAAAACGACGTGAGGAAATGATTTTTGCATAAATTGTTTTATAGCATTTGTATTTGGATGAAATGAAACTGCTACTATTCAAATAAATGATTTAATTTAGCTTTTTTTATTTATTATTACACTAACATAATATTGTAATAAATAAGAGGTCTTTAAAACATTCTACTATTGTCTTGATGCAACTCTCCTTCTGAAAAAAAATATTTCAGTGTTAATTTTACAGATGCTTAATCATAGCACTATATAATAGAATAATTGTATTCAATATAGAATATAAAAAAAAGTAATTAATGTTAATAATTTATTATTGTAACAACACAATCATGCATATTGCACAAGCAGACTTACATTAAAGTACATAAATATATTTGATGACACACATGATATTAATTCAGGTGTTTAGTATGTATAACACTAAAACTATACTGAATATTATACGTCTCAGATTAGTGGTAGGTAGTATGTTGACAAAATATCCGTGGTTTCATTTGCGCATTAGAAAATATTGCCTTTTTAAAAATAAAGATTCAAGTTTTTTTACCAATCTAGTAAAAGGAAAGCCAATAGTTAATTTTTTTATTATTATGACAAGATCACCAAATAAAGTTTTCAAGGATTCCAGCTTTGAGCATAAATAAAATAGTTGACTAGTTTACTCTAAGTATTTAAAAAAAAAGAGACATGCTTTTTTGAAATACATGAATGATTATGAACTCCAATTGTCTTTAGGACAAGCTCTTCTTTTCAAATGATCATACACATATATGTACATTAAAGTAGTATGACATTCTTATACACAATATGTTGATAAGGCTTATATGACAACTGTGTGGCTTAGTGGTCAGGATACCTAATTAATGTCGCAATGTTATGGGTTCAAATTCTAGTTGGAGACAGGATTTACTTATATATCTATAATTGATTTTTAATTTTCAAAATTATTGCAGTTTTGGTGCACTCATATGCTATTTATATAATAGACAAAAGCTACTATTTTAGTTAATTTAACTAAAACTGACTTTTGGAGATTTACTGTTAACTGTTACTGCACGAAATTAGTGCTTTTTTTAACTTGGTAATATGTTATACACGATAATAACGGATATTTTAATATTTATCTATAAATAGGCATCTGATTTTAAAGCAACCTTGTAAAATGATTTCTTATATTTACGCGAATACTACACATTGAATGAAACTATTTTAACGGATTACATCGCGTTTAATTTACCTACTTGTTTGTAATTCCCGACGTTTCGGATGCTCTTTACAGCACCCATGGTCACGTGGGGGACTGAGATGTTTGACGTCCCGATGTCATACTTAGCCCGACTACCTTCAGTTTTCGAATATTAATTTTTGGTCCTATCCGCTACGTCCGACCTACATCTTGAAGCTAGCTTCCATTAAAACATACTATAAGCTGGCGAAGAAAATTGGTAAATTTTTACCATCCGTCAAGTGTAATATCCCTCTTCAGGATGCAGGGGTGTACAAGCTTGATTGTGATTGTGGTCTCTCTTACTTAGGACAAACAAAAATATCAATAAAAACCCGCATGAATGAACACATAGAAAACGTGAAGCACCGATGCTCCGGGAAGTCTGCAGTCTGCCATACGTCAGAATAGAATAGAATAGAATAATTATTATACAATATTGATTACAAGTAATTCTTATTGAGTCATTTTTTTACTTTATCACTGGTTCGAAAAAAACCTCTGTCCTGGGAAAAACCAGCAAGAAACCCAGCAGGACTTTTTTTAAATAAATTTTACAATATAAATGATTACAAACTATGCAAACTAAACAAATTCTCGTAAAAGAACACCGATTCCAATCAAGAAAGATACGCGAGGCTATTAAAATTAAAAACATCCTAATTTCAATACAGAGGATGGATGGGTACTGCCATCTGTTTGGGATCCTATAATCAACAAAATTAAATCCAAACCCAGGCATACCACTGCAAGACTTCAAGATACTGTAAGATCGTTTTGCGTAGATCGGACCAAAAATTAATATTCAAAAACTGAAAGTAGCCGGGATAACCTTGATTTACATCACACATAACAGATGACGTTAAACATCTCAGCCCCCTCGCCCCCCGGTGACCATTGGTGCTCTAAAGCACTCATAGATTACTGTATATATACTAGAGATAGATGCGCGACTCAAATTTAATTTTCTTTAGTGTCGTGCTTTGCATAACAGACGGCGCTTACAAAAGAAGGAACTTGAAAAAAAGGGAAAAATTAAACACATCTGCTGGACGCGATCCGGGGTCTTTAGATTTCGGGACCGCCCGATTATCCCCCTGAGCTATTATAACCTTGTGCGTTGTGGCGAAATTTACTTCGCATTCTAATAATATTTTAGCAGTTTTTCATTGTCTGATAACACAGATATAATGGCATTTTCTAAAAATAAATAATGTTCAATAAATATTAATAACAATTTAAGCGTAACCAGTGACCGCTACTAACCGCGTAGTGCGCGTGAATTATTGCGTATGCATAGACTTAATATATAAGTGCCCTCTAGTGAGATTAAAATAAGTCTAGCCTAGCGCTTCGGAATGTAGATAGAAGCACATAAAACGTATCATTTTGTTCGTAAAATAATGTTTTAAGTTGCACCCCCATGAAAGCACTCGAAACATTAAAACACTAAAACACAAAACCGTTAAAACACTGGATCCATTTCTATCTGCGATTTTATCAATTAAGTATATGTTACCAGTTGATAAGGGTACCTATAATTTGGGGACAAAATCCCTCTCTACCCCCCTTTTATGGCGGCAACAGTCTACCTGGACAGATTAACAGCGGCGATGGAAACGTATAGGTTAAATAATAAATATAATAGTCGACACGTAACTAACGATCTCGACAGTTGCGGTAAAATCTAGTTATTATTATTATTTGGTAATAGGTGAGCAGCTTATAGCTGATATGCCTATATCTGTGTTGGTGTTTTATATTAGTACAAGTTCACACTAAGAATACACTAAATTGGATTGTGTTTACACCATTTGTCCAGTTTGTTTTTAAAACTAATCACAGAGGGAGCATCTACTACGTCTTGAGGCAACTTGTTCCATATATTTATGATTCTGTTGTTTAGTGTGTGATGTCCCACATTCTTTATGAGCGGGTGTAGGCCAATCTCATATAGTTAGGATGTCTAGGTCGGTGGATACTGCTGATGTTAAAAATATGTGGTAGCTCTTTGCAATTATATTTATGTGTCAATATTTTGTAGGTCTCAATAAGGTCTCCTCTGGTGCGGCGAGATTTCAGCGTTGTTAGATTGAATATTTTGAATCTGTCTTCGTATGGCTTTTTGCAAAGGCATAATGGAATTTTTATGGCTTTTCTTTGTACACTCTCCAGCAAATCTACATCCTTAAGAAAATAGGGGTTCCAAATTTGAAATCCATACTCTATCAGCGGTCGGACGTATGTTTTATAAACCTTGAGCAATGTATCTTGAGTCAGATGTTGAAACGATCGTCTGATTGCATACAAAATGCTGTTTACCTTTTTGACAATACTATGGATATGTCAGCAAACTTGAGATCGGATGATATTAAGACACCTAAATCCTTGTGTGAGTTAACTGACTGTACTGTTGAATTTCCAATGTTATACATTTATTTGGGATTGTTTCGACCTAGATGTAAAACTGTGCATTTGTGCACAAGAATTAGGTATTATAGTCCAATTTTTTGTCCACTCCTGTGTAGGCTCTAAGTCTTCTCTTAAGGTTCCCTGGTTCAATAGAGGATTTCCGAAATATTTTACATCATCAGTAAAGAAACAGGCTTCTGAATGTATAATAGAACTCAGATCAGCAACAAAAATGCCAAAGAGGGTAGGCGCGAGTACAGATCCTTGTGGCACTCCACTGAAGACATCTTTAGGTTGCGAATATACATTTCCAACTCTTACTTGAAAGGTTCTTCCACTCAGATAATTTTTTATCTTTTCAGAACATTTCCTCGGATACCCAGATGTTCCAATTTAACCAAAAGACGTCTGTGTGGTACCTTGTCAAAGGCCCGTTCGAAGTCCAGGTAGAATAGGTACGTGTGGCGCCGGAAGCGGCCTCCGCTGTTCGCGGTACCGCGCGCACGCACCAACCTTCTAAAGGAGGCCCCACTGACCAGAGTGCTGCACACTCTAAATAAAGTAGCTCAGGATGTAGATTTATTTTGTTGTTCCTTGGGTGAATTCACAAAAGTGACATTATATATATTGTGTTATAATAGTAGATAAGTTGTGTTCTGTCCTTGTTAAATTAGATAGTTTATGTGCCTACACTGTCGTATTAGGTACGCCTGTAAAGACAGAGGTAGAAATAAATAAATAAATAATATATCCAAAGGATTATGTTTATCAAATTCCCCAGTCCATCTGTGGTATCAGGAAAGAAGGTTAGTTGTAGTCGAGCGCCCTTCCTCAAAGCCATGCTGGTTATGCGGAATAATTTTCTCATCTGCTAGGTACTTTTTCTGCCGACTTCCAAAAAGGAGCCGGTACTCAATTCGACTGTATGTTTTTTTTTTATGTGTGTTACCTCAGAACTTTTTTCTGGGTGAACCGATTTCGATGATTCTTTTTTTATTTGAAAGCTGGTACTTCTCGTGTGGTCCCATATGAATTTGATCAAGGTCAGACCAATAGTTTTTAAGTTATTCTTAAATAACTTATATTGAAGTCGGCTGTACAAAATTTTTAATTTTAAATTATTACATATAGTATAAGGTTGACTAACGAGCACACAGTCCACCTGATGGTAAGTGGTTGCTGTGGCCCATAGACTTCTACATCTATCCTCGATTACGAATCAAAATGCAAATGCGTTGTCGCCCGTGAGGACTCAGATGGAACGCCTAGTTTCCAGTAAATAGGGTATCCGTTGCTCTACACTCACCATACGAAACACAGCAGCGTTAAGCTGCTATTTTACGCTGGTATTCTGTGAGAGCGTGATACTTCCACGGACGAGTCGACCCATTCGTGCTTCAACTATACCAGTAATATAGTTGCAGCATGGCTCTACCACGTATAAAATAAGGTTTGAACCATAGAAAATAGATTGCAGTTACTAACCTCACATGCTTTGAGTATCAACATCGTTCTTAAAGCGATCTGAAAATTAAATCGAAAAGTCGTACAATAATCTAATTATGCTTTATGATAAAGCCTAGTTTAAGCATTAAAAAAAAAAACAATATTTAAAGACGGAGAAAATGTATATTTATCTTACTTTTAAAAAAAGTCGGTAAATGTGGTGCGCAATAATTGCAGGCTTAGAAACCAAATACAAAGATTAAAGCAACTACCGCATAGCTACTGTCACTTCACAAAAAAAAAATCACAAAAGTCGCTACGTAATTAATTCGTTGCTTTATTTTTACTTTAAAGGACTGTGTGGAAACAGTCTTTTAGAGGAAAAGTAAGTGAAATCATAATAATTTCCTAAAATATTATATCATGTAAGTATAAACATCAGTTCCTAAGATAGTGTATTTATAATATTAGTAGCAATTTTTATTATTTGCATTATGTGAATTAATTAATTAAAATGAATTATAATTTAATAAAATTATTGACACGATGTGTATAAAAAATTTTACACAACATTTATGGATGCATGTGTGTGTGAGTGCGTGCATGTGCGTGTGTGCGTGCGTGCGCGTGTGTGCGTGCGTACGTGCGTGGGTGCAGGCGGGCGGCAATGCGTGCGTGCGTGAGTGTATGTGTGATAAATGAATAAAAATTAAAGTCAAAACAAAAGGTGAAACAATTGACACAAAAAGCCAAAGCAAGAAGAATGGTGGCACATGCAACACATGCTTATTATAACCAACTTCGTTTACATTGATACCTATTCTTTACTCTCCAGTGGTTTATGGTCAACTGTGTCTTTTGATGGTGGAGGCATAATTGCCTGCTTGGCAGACTCAGCAATTGAAACTGTCAAATCGACTAACTCAGATACGTTCTTAGGCAAGGACAGTTCGGGGAACTTTACCTCAAGTTGTGGGTCACCGGGTTTCACTGACAATAACAATAAAAATACATTAGAAAAACTATATAAACATACTCTTATTGTATACAATTCAATACCTAAAACACTAGGAGTTCACTCATTTCATTCTCGTATCGCAGTGGTTAACTGCAGCTATGAGGGCCGCGATTACGAATCCCGCACGCAACAAGTCTTTGTATGGCCACAAATCTAGTTTGGATGTTTATACACATGTTATTTATGTAATACGTCTTAATGTTAAAGGATAAATGACAAGTGTGTAGTTGAAACTCAGGCAAACAGAATATCAACGTACTATCAAAATGTCTACTGCTAAACATAGGCTTCTGACATAGATTTCCTTATAGGAGGGATTTTGTCATAGTTGTCATGCTCTGCAGGCAGGTTGGCATCTATAGCTTTTTAAAATTATTATTGAGGTGTTATCAGGAAGATTCTGCTGCCCATCTCCTTTTAAAATAATTATTAATTATCATAAACGTCTGTTTTCTCTAACCAAAACCTTCTAAGCCTGTAAACAGTTCCTTTTTTAAATAATGTACCTCTTCAATAATATTTTCTTCTGTATTGTAAGGGCATTTTATATACATATTATATAGCACAAGGAAGACCGGGAGCCGTTATTTGTAAGTCATACAAACACTTGTTCTGAGCGGGATTAGAAGCCCTACAGCGTCGTGGGCGTATGTTCAGCCACTACACTACCGAACCGTCAGTTCTTTGCTGAACATAGATTTCTTTCAATAGAGAGATACTCCTACAGATATGTTATAAATTATAATCATCACATCTAAGAAGCAGTTTGTTGTCTTCATTACCGGATGATTTGTTCACTTGTTGCTGTTCTCCATTGTAAGTCTAGAATCTAGATATTGAACAGCGGCATAAACGCAGGAAACTATGAAATGATTTTACCTTTTTTTTATACAATAAGAATGTCAAACGAGCACAGTCCACCTGATGGTAAGTGGTTGCTGTGGCCCATAGACATCTACATATATCTTAGTTTGCGAATTAAAATGCAGATGCGTTGTCAACCGTGAGGACTAAGATAGAATGCCACTTTTCCAGTAAAAAGGGTCTCCGGTTCTCTACAATCACCATACGGAACAGAGCAGCGTCAAGTTGCAACTTTACGCTGGTAATCTGTGAAAGCGTGGTCCTTTCCTGCTCGGGCCGACCCATTCGTGCTAAAACTATACTATTAATATAGCTGCAGCATGTCTCTACCACGTGTGAAACGATGTATGAAACCTACACTTATTGCAAGACCACGAGATCTAACTGGCATTCTTAGTCGAATCTCACAACACCTGCGGGACAATGTGGGGTAATCACATTGATTCACTTAAGGCACCATTCCACAGCAAAAAATTTATAACCATTGGTAGTTACCCAACTAGGAAAATTATATAAAGACTGGCTTTTTATATGAAAGAATTCTTACCACCATACAAGAAGTTGTATGCAATATTAATATACTGTTTGGCTAAAGCCCCATTTCTCTTTGCAATTTCTTTTGTCTCTTCAGGGAAGCATATGCCACCCATTGCCGCTGTGCCGATACCGGCATAAAATACTCTCTGGAAATAATAATAACGCATTATTTCTTAGCAATAATTTCAAAAACCTATTACCAGTAATCACTATTGTTAATAATTTTTCTTTTTTTTTATAGGAGAGCGGGCAAAAGAGCATGCGGCTCACATGATGGTAAGTGACTACCGCCACCCATGAACAACTGCAACACCAGGGGAATTGCAGATGCGTTTCCGGCCTTTTATCTAAAGAACAATGGCAGACTTTCATACATAAAATTAGTTGAGAAGAAATAGTAGCGTGTATATATCAAAAATATCTTAAAATGTTAAGCGTCAGTCCCATAATAACTCTGTCAAAGAATTTTGTCTTGAGAAGGCATCAAATAAAAGATATTTAGATTTGAACCTTTTTAGGTTGTCTTATGTCATTTGGGAAAAGTCATGCTTCCTGTGATTGTTTGATGTTAGCTTAATACATAATAGAGAGTTTTTAGATTATTGTACTTCTATAATATATTTGCATACTATAAATGTATATTTCTGGCATGGCTCCAGGGCCTTTGTATCATCGTGACATTCTCAGAAGTGGTAGAACCCAGAGCCGTAAAGCCAGTAAAAAAAACAGTGACATTTTGTTTTAGCTAGTGTTGCCATAACATTAAATGGAATTGTTACATAGTACTATGATTGAGATAATGTATTATTGTAGGAAGTTCTTTGTAAGAGACTTATTCTCAACCATATCACTTTTATTTTTATTATTACTGATAGTATAGTTATTACTGATAATAACTCAATATAATGTTGGTAGTCTTACAAAGTGTATAAGAAAATAGTATGAATATACTAAATGGCAGCACTTGAATAGAGTATTATGATTTAAGTTATTTGATATTCCCAAAAATGTTTGTTTTTTTCTGTGGCTTTAATTAAAATACATTTATGTTTGAAAAATCATAGAAAAATAATAAAACTCATATTATATATAACTTATTTCTAGACGCGATCATTTTTGTCAACTATTTTTCTGCCATTGTTCTTTGTACACTAACTTAAGTGGCAACTAAAATAGTTGCGGAGTACTGAACTGTAGTGCAGAATTCTGGGATTTAGTGAAATGGTCACAGAAAAGATCATCCACATAAAAATTACTGGAATATTATGTTATTTTAAAGATGAATATTTTTTTTCTGGCCACCACTTTGGTTTCTGATGATTTGAATTATGTCTTTGAGCTTCTATCTTTAATGTAAATTCCAACAAAGGGTTAAAAAAATGGGAACTGCTACATAACTTGGCTTAGTGTTCATGAGTATATATCAGTTTGGGTATATGATGAAATAAAGTGAAAAAAGTATGCGTCTTCTATATTTACTCACCCTAATAATGCCTCCTCTAAGGCCAAATATAAAACCTGTAAGACCTCCCATGGCAACTGCTCCATATCGTACTTCCTTGTTATCTTCTTCTCTTAGGTACTGGACAATCCCTATAAAGATATTTTAAAAGGTTTTATTATTGCAATTCCAAGCAGCAATATTGAAGATACTACCAAAAATTTAAACCAACATGCAGTTCTGTCCCGGAACTCGTGGTAATTGTCTTGAACGGTATGTAAAAGCGATTCAGTGTGAGCTATGCCAATTTGGGCTGTCTCTCGTACTGCTTGCACTTGTGGATGTATTACTGATCTTAGGTAGCTACTTTTCTCGGCCTTGGCTTTTGATTTTATGTATCTGTAAATTAAGAAACCCTGTTTAAATTTTTCTAATAAAACCCATATGACAACAGGCACATCGGACAAATTCCTCAACTATACCATTACCGTTACAGCCTATTAAAGTCCACTGCTGAACATAGGCCTCCCGCATAGTTATAGGAGGGATATTTGCCATAGTTGCCACGCTTGGCAAGTGGATTGGCTACTGCAGTTTTTTAATTGTAGTCCTGATTTGATTCCTTCAGTCGCCTATTACGACACTCACGGGATGATATGGGATAGTGGACATTTTTTCACTTTGATGAAATCCCCACAAGACCGATAAATCCTGATACTCTGGCTGACTAATATCATATAACACCGGTCTACAGCATTTTTGCGCATGGGAGATATATACCTTATTTTTGTTGCTTTTATAGCTAGAAATAAGAAGAGACAAAAAATGGTTCTGTTTTTGATTTTCTGTGAAAAATTGCAAAAAAAAAAACATATAAATAAACATACATAAGATCTGTACATAGAAATGATTTATTAAAAGATAACAAACGTGCATTTATGATTTATTGGTCTTAAAATAGAGTCCAAAAGTTTAAAAATAAATTAATTTGCTTTTCCTGTTATGTTCAGCAGAAGTTCCTCTTATTAACCCCCAAACATAATCCTCCATCATGCTTTCGGTGTCATGGCCTTGGTAAGGTCTCTCAAATTCCATTATGTCTTGATGGAATCGTTCCCCTTGTGCTTACGAATAAGCTCCCATATTATCCTTAATCTAAATGAGAATGTAATATGTGCATCTACATCCGATGATACAAAAGTTCAAAATCATGTCAGTAATCAGCTCTTCATAATTTTCAGCTCTATGGTTTCCAAGGAAACCATGAACTACTGCCTTAAAACTGTTCCAGACTTTTTACTCCTCATCTCTAAGTAACCGCGGGAAAACATCACAATCCATATTTTTTTATTTGAGGGCCTACAAAGATACCAGCTTTAACTTTCGCCTCTGAAAGCTTTGGAAATAAAACTCTTCAAATCTTTGAAAGCTTCGGACTCATGATTAAGAGCCTTTACAAATTGTTTAATAAGACCCATTTTAGTATGCAATGGCAGCATTAATATATTTTTAGGATCAACAATTGCTTCCCATTTAATATAGAATTTTCCTACTTCGTACTTAGTACGAAGTAGGAAAAAAAGCTATTTTTGGTGATAGTGAGCTGCATCATTCCTACTATCCATCTTGCATTCCAGTTAAAAAACACACCATCTTTCAGTGACCATATTTCGCAAACACATAGGTACTGTTTGTTGAAAGCAAGAAACACTGCCTCCCAGCCCTCTTACTTCTCTTTCGATTGCTGGCGATAGCGACAGCGCGCAATGACCGACTTTAATTGGGCGCGAAATCAAAAATGGTCAAATCGCTATAACTTTTTTTAAAGCAAATATTTTCAATGTACAATCGCATTTTTTATATATTTTTGCTTAAGTATATAATCAGAATAAATGGAGTAAATCCCATGTGCAAGAAATTTTTATTTTTTTGTTCACTGGTGTAATATATACCTTTACTTGTGGGTTGTGAGGAAACAAATGCCATAACAAATCAATCGCTTCTAGACAAAAAGTAATAGTAGAAACTATAATGAAGGTCATGACAGATAGCTACCATGAGGCATGTCCACAAATCACTCCACCATGTGGGGCCATGAAAACTTCTATGAAAGAGTTGCCATGCTTGGTAGATGTGTTGGCAACTGCAAGTTTTTAACTACTATATGTAAAACAAAATATATATATATCAGATATTTGATATTGAAGCAATATTGAGATTCAATGACTATATATGTTTTGTATCACCCACTCCTAAAAGCTTGTGTCTGTTCCTAGTAATAACAGATTTTATATACATACATTTAAATAAAAATAAAATATCAATTTTCTTAACCTGTTAACTGGGGAGTTCCCATTCAAATTATGCAACATGTACCGGGTGCGTATTCTTTCGCTAGGACATGTCAATACGTCACGCCTGGAGACCGTGATTTCATATTTCTATATTTTTATTTATACATACAATAAATGAATAACTATGAAATATATATCGTTTATCAATATTTTTGAAGTACAAAAGGAATCACAAAATAAGTTAAAACAAGTAAACAAAATAGAATTACACAATAGGTACATATAAAAATTCAAAACTCATTTTCTGTGTGATATATTTTAAAACAATTATTAATACATAATGCTACACTACAATTCGGACACCAGTAAGTAGATTCTTTCCTAGCACCTTTTTTGTAACACACTCGACATTTCCGGGATTTAGTTTTTCCTGTATCCCTTTTCATTTGCTCTGGAAAATGCCTTTCCACTATGCGTGATGGTTTAGGTGTAGAGCTGCTTGTTGATGCCTTTGGTGGGTGTTTACGATATTGTTATCAGCTAATTTCTCTATACACTCTAACAAAAATCATTATTAGATGACTCCGATAACGAACTCATAATATGTCTCCTTCTTTTACTTGCCGGTACATTGAATTCATCATCACTGATATCGCTCTCATTCATTTTGATGAACACTAAAAAAATTTTTTTAACAAGATTGGAAATAAAAATAATATATAATAGAAATATATTTATAGCCATTGCATGTATTTGTAAGCATTTAATTAAATAGATAAATAAAATAGGTGGTAAGTATAAATATGTACCCGTCACTGGTCACCTAAAACACGTCTATCACTCATAATAGCGAAATTGTTCTGATTCCATGCACATGTCGATTCATGCCAAGATACGCATGGATGACGTAATATCATAGCCGATCGGAAATATACGTCCCGTCCATTCCAGGGTGCAAATTAATTTTCGAGGACGTATTCATATGTCCTACCTATACCCGATATTGTTTATGCCTGACGCATTTATGCATCTTGTCCAGTTAACAGGTTAAAGTTTAGTCTGAGACTTTGGGTTTTAAGTTAAAAATTGCTCTTATGACCCTCCTTTGCAAAACAAATATAATATCAATGTCAAAATAAAATTGCAATTTAATGCATATCTGTTAATTTTAATTACAAAGTACAAATATAAGAATATTTAATTTTTATAAAACCATAACTTATTTTGTTTTGTGCTTGCAAGAATATTCAAGAAAATCGTAAAAATATGTGTTTCTGAGTCCTGAATGTATACGTAAGATAAAAAATTGATCTTTCGAACAATAGTCATTCGAAAGTCGTAACGTACCCAACGTTAGTTAATCAAAATGTATCAAACACATAAAGATACAAAAATATTGTCTTGATAATTTCGATGTAAGACTAGATACATACTCCCCATATTCAGCATGTGGTGCTTCGTATATTGGAAGCTCAGAGGGTCTCATTGGCGGCGGTTTTAGAGGTTCTTTCGGACTCTCCTGAACAGGAGAGGCAGCGCTGATTGTTGGTATCAACGCGATCACCCCGGATCCCATAGCCACTTTTCGAAGCATTTTTTTAGAGATTTATTAGTAAATTGAGGTAAACACTACGTTGTAAATTTATAGATCAACTAATTAAGTTTCGTAAATCAGATCGTAATAAATATTTAAAAATTACTATAAAATATTGTAATTTTCGGTGATCAGCTGCTTAATTTGACATGTGTGTCAAATTTACAATTATGTAATTTGTATTTTTTTTTAATAACTGGCTTTACGGCTATGGGTGCTAGCCCTTCTGAGCCTCAAGTTACGATGTATAATTATCCTTCTTAGTACACTGCTTCACGATATGTTGATGCGTCATGTTATGCAGCCCTTGAGAGATTTTGACGGGCAACTTGAACCAGCAGACAGCTGATAGTTGGCGATGGTATCTCAAGACGCCTAAGTAGACAGACACCTTATCTTAAGAATCACATCATCATCAGAGCACATGCGCAGACATTTAATACACAAAATGGCACCACTTTTATATATCAAAATCCACTTCAAACCATTATTTAAACAATAATACAGGAGCAGCAATCCGTCGCCGGTCAAGTTCCCGCCAATACTCGTAATTTGCAAAGAGTAGGTAACTTTAGAGAGTAATAGTGACACGGATTATAAACTCTATACAAATAACGCGTAGTGCAACTTAGAACATTATTTTACGAACAAAATGATACGTTTTATGTGCTTCCATCTACATTCCGAAGTGCTAGGCCAGACTTATTTTAATCTCACTAGAGAGCACACTTATATATTAAGTCTATGTATACGCAATGATCCATGCGCACTACGCAGTTAGTAGCAGTCACTAATAGTTACGCTTAAATTGTTATTAATATTTATTGAACATTATTTATTTTTATAAAATGCCGTTATATCTGTGTTTTCAGGCAATGAAAAACTGCTAAAATATCATTAGAATACGAAGATAAATTTAGCCACTACGTACAAGGTTATAATAGCTCAGGTGGGTAACCGGACGGTCCCGAAACCAAAAGACCCCGGATCGAGTCCAGCAGATGTGTATGTGTAATAATAATATATCATAATCATTACAGCCCTCCACAAGTCCACTGCTGAACACAGGCCTCCCCCAAGGAATGCCACAAAGCACGGCCCTGAGCCACCTGCATCCATCGACTTCCTGCATAATAATAATAATATATGAATAATATAAAATAAATAATATAATAATATAATAATATAATATATATATATATATATATATATATATAAATAATGTGTATTTTCCCTTCTTTTTTCAAGTTCCTTCTTTTGTAAGAATTAAGCGCCATCTGCTCGGCAAAGCACGGCACTAACGGAAATTAAATTTGAGTCGCACATCTATTTCTAGATATATACAGTATTGTATGGTGGTTCGGCGATCGGGGCATTATTGGAGCTGTCTCTACACACATGCCTGCCGTTCAGTATGAGAGTGTACGTCTCGCTGGACGCACGTGTTGAGAATGGCGCCAGTTTTATCGAAATATCAATAAATCAGTATATATAGCTTTGGCTCTTTTTTATATAAAATAAGGGTGACAAATGAGCACAGTCCACCTGATGCTAAGTGGGCACTGTGGCCCATAGACACTCACATTTGTCAATAAAACAACTAATTAGTTAATAATTACAACCATAATATAGTTCTTATAAGCTGCAGCATAGTTCTGGCACGTTATTTATAGGCTATCAAAGACAATTAAATATGAATAACTTCACTTGTCATAATTTAATATAACCAATTTATTCTGTTATATAACTTAACTGACTAGTGCTTAATAACCATAATTTAACTAGTGTTACAATAAGCCAGGATAGTTTTCTAATGATGAGTTTTAATAAATTTAATTACTAAAATTTGTATTTTTGTTTAATTATTTAGTTAATGATATTTTATTTATATTCCAGCGATTTTAATATTGGAATATTTTCTTTCCCATGCTAGCCCTTATTATAAGTTAGGTAACAAATCCGAGTAATGTTACTTGTAAGTACAACGTTCAAATAACATTCTTTCTGCGGTTCTGACTTATACCCATACGTGTGCTCTGCGTGAAAGTCGCAACGAACTGATTGAAATTGCCCCAATTCCGCTACACACGCGACAGCGGCAGGGTCGATCTAGGGAGCAAGGAAGGTCTTGCGCTCCTGCCGCCCTACCGCAGGGCCGATTTAAAAAATTGCGCCTGCTTTCCTACACACATCACAATTAAGGAGGCAATTAAGGGTCCCCACTCCTACACCCTAGATTGCCCCTGCGGCAGGCATGTCAGAAGCCGCCTTTATAGTCATGGGTTACTCATCTATTTTATTTGAGGATGAGGGATTACATCATTTTATCTAGCGAGGTACTCACGAGATACTCCTCATTTGAGGTGAGGAATCACTAGTCGGTGTATTCATCTCACAAGGCTCCTTCCAAAAGTTTTTTGAAAGGAGGAAATATTGTTACCATATTCATTATATTTATAATATTATTATGTTACAACAGGCGTTATCAGTGGACGCAAATAAAATTCGAGATCACAAAAAAGTGCGCATGATTTTATATTCACACTCATATATTTGACTTGATTGTTTCAAATCCCATTACTCAAAAATTAATTTTGTTGTTTATGAAGCTTTTTCCTCAATATCGACTCCTCACTCGTTTAGTTTTGCTGCAAAATATATAATCTAGATACTTACTTGAACTATTTTTAATCGAGTTGCTCGCTCACTCACTCGGGACACGATTCATATTATCAGTCATAAGCGAGGTCGTGAACGAGGGAGTGAGGTGTTTTAATGTTAAAATTCGAGTAACTCTTTCGATTTGCCGTCACGAGGATCTCAAACGAGGCAACCTAGAGGCAACTCATGAGTGAGGGACACATCACTACTTCCTTATATATTGCTATACTCTTTGGTTAGTCTGTGCTGTGTCTGTGACCATAGATAAATAAACAAGTCTGTGATAGAGATGCGACATACTTGCAAAATTTAATACCAAGGCTTCTAAGTACGAGTATGGAAAAATACTAGGGTCGAAAACCAGGTTTTAAAAATACTTGAAAGTATTTGTTAATGTCAATATATATATGAATGCCTAATTTGATTCGGGCAAAAATTTATACTGAACGTTTTTAAATGTTTTTTGGTAACGAAATGAAATCGTTCTTTTCTACTTTTCGGCTTAGGACTCTTAATAAATAAAAGTTTTAAAACTGTCTCTAAATTCAATAACTAACTAAAATAACTATTTAAAAATTAGGTCACGGTCAGTAGGTTACGTAATCAGTTCACAATAACAATTGAATTTACAAGAAATCGAAACAAAACTTTTACTTCCTCGAATATAAACATAATTCTCATTACTTACTAGGTACTTACGCGAAGTGTCCAGCCGCGGTGTCAGTTTGAAAATATTTGCAAAGAGTGTAGTAATATATAAGGAAGAATACTTGCATAGGAATTCGACCCGCTTTCCATGTTAGGCTATTATGACTAAGGAGCAAAGTCGTATAAATAAAAAAAACACTGAAGTTCAAAGTATTTTTCATTCACAAATACGATTGAGTTTCTTATTACTATTGAGATATGGATCATTTTCCTATGCAAGTATTCTCATACTTGCAAGTATTTTTTGGTCGTAAAAGGGCGCCGTACTTTAAAGTTAATACCTGGTAGCGTAAATACGTCTCATTGCAATACGAGCGACGTGTCCAGCCGTGGTGTCAAAATTTGAAAATACTTGCATAGGAATTTCACCCGTATTCCATGTTAGCCTACTATGAATAAGGAGAAAAGTCGTATAATTAAAAAAAATACTTTGAAGTTTTAAGTATTTTTCGTTCAAAAATACGATTGAGTTCCTTACTACTATTGAGATATGGATAATTTTCCTATGCAAGTATTTTTATACTTGCAAGTATTTTTTGCTCGTACCAAGGCGCCGTACTTTGAAGTGAATACCTGGTTTTAAAACCTGGTAGCGTAAATACGTCTCATCTTTAGTCTGTGACCACAAAGTACCGGTGACTGTGCTGCTGACTGCTGTGCTGTACCTGTAGTTTTGTGCAAACTGCATTGTGTAAATTTTATTATAAAAATTCTAATAACTTATATTATAAATAATAAGTCATTTATTCGTGTTAATGAAAAATATTTTGCTTGTGAAGTAGGTAGCTGTTAGAATAATAATACATCTTTTGTGACATACGACTATAGCGTGATCGTGAGTACAGTTTTGTGGTAAATAGGAATCCCTGTTTCACTTTTATACGGTAATTCGTGTTTAATCTCTCTGTATCGAATTGGTTTTGTAATAATTTTTCACTTATAATGTCGGGAGTGCGCGCTAGTCGCGTACCTAAACGCCTGCGAGCTCACCGTATGAAGAGTCGATCAGGTAAGCGAAGACCCCATGATGGTGCTTCGCCGCTGCTGTCACAGACAGGGAAATGAACACCGCTTGCAGATTTTCTCTTAGTATAGCTTGCTTGAGTTAATGGTCTCATTCTGAAGGTTCCATTTCATCAAACATCTTAAATACTAATTACCATCAATACTGTCCTTGTCTCCCATGTGTTAGCTGCAATAGAAAATAAGTTAGTTCTACAAAATTACAAACTAATTTAGGAGAATATTGGATTAATGATTATTTTTATTTAAAAGATAATGCTGATACATATCCCATGTATAAAGTGAACATAAAAGAAGTGAAACTCATTTGGTTATTTGAGCAGCACATAATATTATGACATTGTGTTAAATATTTAAAAACAATATTTCATATTTTATTAAATATTATATTAAAATAATTTAAGTAATTATAATTAATATTTCAATAGACTATGTATTGCTTGACTTATTCTCAAGTGTCAAGCAATTCATCTTTTTATTATGAAAAATAACATTGAAAATCATGTTGCTGCTTTAAATATTTGTTATAGTGCACCAAAAAAATTCCACTCAAGTAAACCGTTTTTCATTGAGTAAGTGATCTCATCTTGAGTTGTTATTATGCATGTATAACTCATCAAATAATTTTCACATTCTTAACTTTATTTCAGATTCTTATAATGTTATTATTTTGGTAAAAAAAATATTGAAGTACTATCAAACTTATGTATTCCTTTCAAAAAAATATTCTTGAGTAAATGTGTTAGCATAACATTATTTTCTGTTACTCATTTTGAGGGGCTTGTTCAAGATAATGATGTACACCTATCACACTCTTCTCAATTTGTTTTGTCTGATTACCATGGGTAGTGGATATTCTTACACCACCTCTACATGGTAAAAAAAATAAGTTAAAATAAAATCAAAGAGCTTTATTTTATTTAACTTATACTTTTGGAAAAGAAACAGTTTTTTTTCCCAAAGTCAGGACAAAAACCACTAGCACATGGGTCCCCAATTCCAAGTCCTGGAAACCCTACTTGCATGCCTATTCTAATGATGGCTTTAACATTTTAATTTTAAGAAATAATTAAAAAATTCAAGTACTAAAATTTTGTAACGTTCTTACCAACATAATATTGATATTGTTGGATTTTAGCCAATCACATCTACTGCTGTCAGAGTCATGTGAATGAGCAGAAATGATGAAAGATTTATATTGATTTGAATAATTTTCACCTGGGAAATCAATTATCTTACTTTAATCTTGTATTTTTTTTTCTCTTATATGACTGTTTCGTAGTTTCGAAATATTAATGAGATAATATAATGTGTATAGCCAGCCAAGTTGATTTTCTGCAAACATTGAAGTTTATAGAAAACTAACAATTTATGGGAATACAAATTTATCTGAATGTTAAGTCGTCTGACTGTCATGTGACTCAATATTAAGTTTTAAAATTCATTTAGTTGATTTTAAAAGTTGACTTCGCTAACTCCACTGGAATCATTTGGATGGAGCCTTCATAAATGAGCACTTATCAACTTTCCTTTGAAATTGCTATCTCATTCTAACTTGTGTTGAAATTTGCTAACATAATAACTTGCATTGATCCAGGACATTAAGGTGCATGATGAGACTAGTCTGATGATCACATAACTTCACTTCTAAGGAGCCAAGGTTACCCCATGGCTGAGGATCTTTGGTATGAAATGGTACATAACCAGCATAATATTAAAGTAAATTTTTTTGAGATCACATTACTATATTTATACAGAAAGTATTATTTTATTTCACTTAAAACATTACCACACTCTTATATTTAATAATAGTTATGCTCTTAATATGAGAAACTTAAAGAATTTTTGTTTAGAGATTTTTGTAATTAAAAACCACAAATAGAAATATTTACAAGCTAAAATTACCAATACTAAGCAGTATTGAGAGGTAGTAGCCATATGCAGGTGTTACCTTCTGTCAAAATCTAGTAGTCTTCTATGTGTACAATAAAACTAGTTGCAGCTGTACTGCTCACTAGACTAAATCTAGTTGTGAGGCTGATTTGATATACTACAAAAATGCTGAATCATTCAGTTTTTATTTGCTGCATAAAGTGATCTGCCACATCAAATTTACAAGGAGATGGCATTACCTTTCATATATAAGTAATTTTTAATCACATTGCTATTTACTTCTTTACAATCTTAAAAATTACAATAATAATGGTTGTGTTGTTTCGTATTTGTTTACCAACATAGGCCCTCTTACAATATGCAGATCGGTTGAGCCACTGATCCAAGTCTATCAGAGTTGTTGCTGTCACTAAGCAATACCGTTTTAATGTATATATGTGTGTGAAATTGTTAGTTTATTGTTTTAAATGTTTGTGATTTTCGTAGTGACAGAAGATTGTTTTTGTGTGCGGATATTTCTTCCTGCAAAAAATATCAAACAGTTCTGTATTGGAGAAAAACATTCTAGTTGCTCTATGCTATTCTCACACAATTTCTATAGAAATGTTTGTTTCGATAACATAAGTATTTCAATTGACTAGAGTGTTAAATATCTCTATTGTTTGTGTAGTTGGTAGTGTCCAAACAAAGGTCAGATTTTGGCTAAAGCCATAGACGAAGCCGATTGTTCAGGTTCTTTAACTTTCGTCTGAAGCCGAAGGCAGACGTTCAGTTGTGGCCAATTTTTTAAAAATATTATATTTAAATGTATAGCGCTCTTTATCAAATATAATTTTAAGGCAATTGATTATTTATTTTAAATTGGAACTTAACAGTCACTCAAATTGAAATTTAAATAAACCCTCGATATAAAAAGAGATCTTCAAACAGCTGAAAAGATTTTCTTGAATCATAGCACTCGATCAAGTCACCTTTCAAACAAAACAAAAACTAGTTCATCAGTTTGGGAGCTACCATGCCACAGACACACAGATAATAATAATAATAATAGTTTTATTGTTTCTCAATACATTGTCATGCATTACATAAATTGAGGTAGCTCCAGTAAGTTATAAAATACTTGTGTTGGAACTACCTCGCTGCTTCCCTTAAAGCTACCTTACAGTATTGAGATCAATCCATACAATATAACAGAAAAATTAAATTAAGTAGTGAAAAAGAGAAAATATACACAGGTTAAACATATAACACCCCTCTGTTTGCATCGGGGGATTAAAAAGATATGATATTAGCACTCAACAGGAAATTATCTGAGTATTTTTAAGTCATTTAAGTTATTAAACTTAAAATGAAAAACCTAGTAATCTATTAGTGATGGTGTATACTGCTCAACTCTATATATTATATACTGTATATTATATTGGATTTATAGAAAAGACAAATTAATGCTGAAATCTCCACCTCTTATATGTTTATTCTGTACAACCTATTACTGTTTCATAGTTAAGGTGAAGGTGTAATAAGTAAAGGTAATAAGACAAAGATGAAATTCTCTTTTGTATATTATATATTAAAACATATTATTTATATACATTATAGGGAATCTAATGAGAATTTTAGTATTTTTAAAGCACTGGTGGTATGTTGTTGCATGATATTGAATTGATTATGTATGGTGTTTGTCCTTGGAAATAATTTGCATGAACCTTGAATTTCATTAAAAGTATTACATAGAATTTAATTGGTCAGGTGGGTGTATAAATAAAGTATGAATTACACTCTGGGGTGAATTATTAATTACTCATATTTTGTTATTTTGAACTTTTAGGTTTTTGTTAGCTCTTCTTTACAATTTACCAGTGAAAATAGATTTCTAATACATTTAAACATTTTGTTAGCGCAATTATATTTTTGAGGGTATCAAAAGTTATAACCCTATAAAATATTAAATTTAAATAACATCAATATATGGTGAAAATATAAGAACTAAGCCACACAACAGCATGTGGATTTTGTACTGGTGATTTTTCTTCGACTTTCAGGATTTTATTGAATAAGAGTGACAAACACATTTCATTCAATGGTAAATGGATACTGTGACCCATAGATAACTACATTTATCCTCAATTAAAAATCAAAATGCAGATGTGTTGTCACCTATAAGGACTAAGATTACATGCCTATTTACCAGTAACAAGGGTCTCCAGTTCTCTACACTCATCACACAACACAGCAGCATTGAGCTGCTATTTCACACTGGTATTCTGTGAGAGGTGTGATCCTATCCCGGTCGAGCTCATCTATTCCTGATGGAATAGCTGCAGAGTTGCTTTTTGTGGAGTGGAATTTTCTTGTTTTGCATTGTGTTAAGATTTTTCTGACCCAGAAATCACCCCTGCTTCGCACGGTTGATTTCCGGATCTGGACAACATCACCACCTACCGGGTCGAATTGCAAATCTGAACCATCCCCACACTCCCACCACTCAAACACGCACAAAATATCTCATCAAAATTGTTTGAGCCGTTCTCAAGTGGTGATACTAGCTGGTATCCGGCGCATTGCTGCCGCAGAAGAAATAATTGAGGAAATGTCATCATAAATGTGGAAGAGTTATATTGTTTAATTCGGAATCATAATATAATAATTGAAATTGAATGATCTATAACTTTCAAATAAATTGTCGGTACGTATACGCGCGCCACCTAGTGTAAGTCAATGTACTATGCCTATAACCTTCGTGCAAGTGTAAGCAATAAGTTGACAAAGTTTTACTGCAATCTGATGAACGATATGGCTAGGGTTACCTGATGTCTCGCTGGAAAATCCTGACAAATACCTGATTTCTATAAAAATGTCCTGACATTATTGCCGCATATATAAAAATTTCTCTGTAAATAAAATAAATTAACACATAATGTAACGATTTCTCAAACAACCCCTTTCGGGGGGGGGGGGCATAGGCTGTTCAAAATTGAATGGAGAAAACAATATTTTTATTACGTAGGCATCCAATAACAAAGGATTTTTGAAAATTCAAACTAAGAGGGTAAAATAGGGTGTTACAGTTTGTATGAATCTTTTAATGCTAAA